CAAATAGGGAAATATCGATAATCGATCATTCACGCTTTGTCATTTGATCTCCAAGATTCCTGGAACTACGTTAAAAACGATCCGGCAGCAGGGCTCTCGCTCCAAGACATATACCTATGGACGTATTTCTGCCAAACGGAACTATGTGCATTATGACGTGAGCCCTGTTATGCATGTATTCTTATGGGTATCGGGGCTCATGGCTTAATGCACATAGTTCCGTTTGGCAAAAATACGTCCATATAATATACGTCGGATCGCGTGTTGGTGTCATAGCCCCCAAATTTTATTATATGTGTCGGTGCCAGTTCAGGACTGGACCATCCGTTTGGAGACATATCTCTAGAAAACGAAAAGCAAAAAGAATTAGATTAAAAAAAAAATTGATATCAACAAACTAAAGTTACGACTAATGAAGGACAGAAATATTTAGGTTTAACGACCTGCGCGACGTCCGACTCAAACGCGAATTTTAAGTATCTCCTGCTCTCCGGTTTGTCGCAGTGGCAATTTTGCAAGTTGGCAACACTGTTTTTTCTCCATTTTCACCCGTTTAAAATATCGACTTTTCAGCCGGCGAGCTGCCTCACCAAGAATCGATTTTTTACATGCAAATAAATGGAGGGAACACAGTGTTGCCAACATTCAGGAATCGTCACTGGTTCGTCGCCTTCGAGAGTGAAATTCGCGTTTGAACAAGCTTTCGATAAATTAACGAAAAGTCAAATATTGACTTTCTCAAAGAAATCAATTATTATGGTATGAATTTGACCAAAATTTAAATTGAAAAGCGTATGCATATGCACAGCAAGAACAAACAATATAATAAACCAACGAGGGAATTTAAAGACCGACGGTGAAACTACCCAAGGTCGGACAGGCTCACATCTCAGGGCGTATACCCTTAGCCGGCTAAAGGAGCGTAAAGTGATCTTTTGCCGCCCCATCCCTCCGCCCGGGGGGATGGAAAATTGGGAAGCACATCGACGTAAAAGGCGATCCAGAAATTTCTAGCAAATCAGCACAATTTTACGCTATTTTCAGGGTCGAAGTTTATTAAGTAATCTCACAGAGCAAAAGTTGCAAAATTGAACACTTTTAAGTAACCGGGAGACTTGTGAAATGAAAAAAAAAAAAAAAATATATATAAAATCATTACTTCCAGAAGAATCGAATCAGAGCTTGCAACCTATGATACTGCTTTTAAAAACTAGAAGTCGGAAAATGATGCATCCTTTTCGGGTTCATGGACCCCAGAAATATGTACGCCGAAAAGATCTTTTTATCCTCATCGAATAATGAAACATTCTATCTGGAAAGCACAATGTGAAATTTTGAAACAGAGACAAGGTATTCAGGAAGAAAAGTAAAAATAAAGAGATAGGGAAACATGTATATTAAATCATGTATACATACGAGCCGTAGATGTAGGTCTGTAAATATTTGTACATTAAAATAAGAATCAGACTTCAAATTGAAAAAAGAAGAAAAAATTGAGGAACAACGGAGTCGAGACGTCATCGGGCCTAGTTTTTTAAATTTTTCTCTCGAATCTGAGCGACACCTCACTGGCAGCATAGGACGGAGCACTGCGAGTTCACGTCGAGCGCCAGCGCGCCTTCAATTTTGCAGATGCAACACAGACATCCATCATGTACGAATAGTTGTATCTCTGCGCCGTCATCAACGCGCTTCCTTTAACTTTGCTCTATTTCCATACTGTGTTTCTTTCAGTTTGTCTTATTTGTATTTGTAGCGGTGCTTTAAAGACTGTATGAGCAACACAGCCGTAAATAGGAGAGCCGTATAAATCGAGCCTCGTTTCTTAATTTCCTCACGACACTTCATTGGCAGCACAAAGCGGAGCTGTAGAACATCGCGAATTCATAGCTCGCGCCATCGCGCCTTCAGTTTTACGGACGCAACACAGACATCCATCAAGCACGAATAATTGTATCTCTGCGCCGTATTTCCTGTGTTAGTTTCGTTTGTCTCATTTGTAGTGATGCTTCAAGGGATACGTGAGCAACACAGCCGAAAATAGGATGTGCTCTCCTATAGGATGTGCGAAATAGGATCAATTCTCATTTTGAAAAGAAAAAAATGTTAGAGGTCTCTCAAGCGATCAAGAGAGCGCACGTCTAAAAATTGACTGTGCTACCTTTTCTGAGAGAGTGACGAGGACGGGGGGTGATAAAGCGTCTCTATGTCACCAAAAAGGGTGAAAATTTTGAAGAAAATAATTTTTCAAAGATCTTAGAAATTGTATGTATAGGTATTTTGACACTTGATAAAAGTTCGAGAGCTATTTTGATTTCCTCACTTAATGACGCTCATCATCCCTTTTTCGAAAACTATAATCGTCAAAAAAATTTTAATGCCTCAAAGCTAATTCTACGACGGAGAGTGACCAAAGTTTTTGCGTAATAGCGAAAGCTAAAAGCGTAATGCGTAATAGCGGAAGTTTGCACTTTATTGTCTGTTAGTGAGTGAAATAATTGTCATTCATTACAGTTTGATTAAACCACGTCCCAATTTTTCACATTATCCTCTTCAAATTATTGAGCTACAGATACAAAATCTGAATTCAGCAAGTAAAAAAAAGAAAGAAAAAAACCACCATTTTCCCAGCATTTTTGTTGGCCCAGGCGCGCGCCTGTGGGGACTTAAATCCGGTTCATATTCCCAGAACCTCCATTCACCATCATGCGTACGAGGACCTTCCTTATTTACTCTTACTTTCTCTTCTTTCGTTCATTTATGAATTTCCTGCATTTTATCTCTCATCTCTTTTTGCTATATGTGGCAGAGGGGTGCATCTTAGATGCATCAGGGGGCCGTAGCGGTCAATGGCAGATTGGCCCTATGGTCAGTCCGACTCTGAAACTACCAGACCACGCATCTCGGTTCGCGACGTTGTAGACTTCTTGTCATACTTTATTTTCAAAATGGAAAACTACTCAACGTCAATTCTTGAAAACTACCCTGTATTATCTTCGATTAGCGAAAAAAAACTCTGTCAAAATTTCAAGAGGAGATGACGATTTGCTCTTCAAAAAAATAAAACGGGAGCGAACATTTTTAAACGCCGCAAACAAGAAACGCGGACTGGTGGTTTCACCGTCGAAAAATCTCTTACATACGACGTCGCAGGCAATTAGGAATCACAACTAATTTATTGACTGGTGAAATTGTATACAGAATAACCCTGCTGCCTTGATAAGGAAGAAGGCCGTGTGCGCATTCGAATGTTGCCAAATTTCCTCTCAGAAAAGATTTAATTTTTAAGAAAGTTTTGAATATTTTTCCTTGCAATTTTCAAACTTTTTAGATCAAATTACGAAGAAATCCTGTGAAAAATCGGAACAGAAATATTCGCCAACTGCTTTGAAAATCCACGGTTTGTCGAAGGAAATTTGGCAACGCCTGAAGGTTCATGAGGCATTCTTCCTTAGCAAGGCAGCCTGGTTAGCCGCACGCAGTGGCGATTCCAGCGAGTCGACAACGCTTTTATTACCCTCATTTAAATCCGTTGAATATGTCAATCTAGGCGAGACAGGGTGTCTCCTCAACGAAAAAGACTTTCCACTCTTCTAATGTTTAGCAATTTCATAGGGGGAGTGAAAATTTTAGTTTTCATCAATTTTTAAAATATCTCTTCCGAAAAGCAGGGCATCGTCACTCACTAGACAGTGAGCTTCTGTTAACTTGAATTCTTGAAAATGCGCCTTTATTTGGACCGCGTTAAACAGAAAGGAACCAAGCCACATCAGCTATTGCCAAATTTAATCGGGCAATTTAATTTTCTACATGAAAACGGTTGTACAGATTTTCGTGCAAATTTCAGTGAATTTTCTCCATATTACGAAGCAAATTCCTTAAAATTCTCAAAGGTATTCGCACAAACGCTCTCACATAAAAAATTAAATTGATCAGTTAAATTTGACAATAGCTGATGTGGCTTGGTTCCTTTCTGTTAAACGCGGTCCATTTCTTCCTCATATACTTGAGCCTTCAATTGTGCCGGAGACAACAAGCTATACATCTTTCAACTGAGCGATGATAACGCGGCGCGGCGCCGCGTTGCCGCTGTGTAAGGCTAAGATTTTCCTTCAATTCCGCGTGATACCACATACCTACTCCATAGATCGAATACTTTCTCGCTTGATTTCCGCGTGTGAAAAATTGAGAAGTTACGCGTCAATATCAAGAGACGTCTGAGATATTTCCAGAGGATTTGAAAAGTCAAAAGAAATTACGCGCTTTTCATCTTGGTATCGCAGAAAAATAGAAAATGCACTATTTTCCCCGCGATTTTCTTGAGAAAAAATGAGAGCTCACACGATAATCACCACAATATCGCGACAAAATACGCGATTTTTCCAGTAGTTTCGTAAAATCATCAGAAATTACGCGGATACGTGCAAATTTTCCAGCGGTTGATTGAGATCACACAATTTTCACCTCAATATCGCGATATACTTTAGCGTCTACTTAAGTTTCATGCGTCTCATAAGTCTTATTAAGAGAAGCGTAAGCAAGACCAATCCACATAGGCCAGTCATTCTGGCAAACTGGTTTTGGGATCCTACTGCGCATCGGTAGCAAGAAGTTTAGATGCACTGTATTCCTAATGGAAGAAGTCAATTCTGCCTCCTACTGCCCAAAGCCGAATTATGGCCTGGCGAGGAAGTGGATTTCAAAAAGATGCAAAGTTACCTGCAGTTTAGGTACCTGCGTGGACTGGTCTTGAGCATAGATATGATTCTACCAACTCTTGTAAATTTTTACCTTTAGAAAAGAACACTTTTAAATACTCTTTCTATAGACTGGAGGCTTAAAAATATTTTTTGATGATCGAATGACATTTTGGATTCATAGGAACACAGAATTATAAATATCTTACTTTTCAGTTGAAATGCGGGTAACCAGAGGTTATCTCACAACAGGGGGTAATAGAGCCGGGACTGTATGAAGAAAATATTAAAATGAACAACTAATATTATTGCAACAGTTTCTTTTATTTTAAACAGATCTGAGCACAATAAGGCACAAAGACATATCAAATTTAGATTATCAACAGTGCTTCATCTCCTTCTTTTTCAAAACTGTTGATACAATTGTGTAAGTAATATTTCAAAATTTGATGAATTTTTTGTTATCTGAATAGGTGTTCCAGTAAACCTTGCTTCAATAGATCATGCATCCTGAAAATAGGGCTTTGAAACCTAATAGACCACTATTCAGTGTCTGAATTTAAGCATGAAATTACATAACATGATTTCTCATTAAAATTGTGCATAGAAAACGATTTGTGACACTAAGTTTAACCAAAAATTACGGTACATTGCAGAAAAACATTTGGGAAGAGGAGTGCGACATAAAAGATACAAATGTTCTGCACTTAGTGTTGTCATGCAGTATCGTTTATGGCTGTATCTTCTATTAATGAATGACATACTAAAGAAATCGTGGCCTGTAACCATAAACTGTGAAAAAATATAGTGATGAACAATACAACGTAGAAATTTACACCAATGTAAATTGAAACCCTAGTGAATGGTTCTGAATCCTCTGAACAACTTTTCAGGAACAATTATGAATGGAGACACGAATGGAAGAAGGATTCTGAACAAGAACAGAGATAGCTTGAGTATACAGAGTATGCAGCAGAGTTACAGCAACGCTGAACGATGGGCTGCACAATATGCTCTTCAACAATCTTCACAAACGGTAGGAGGAGACCTGTCTTACAGAGGTTAAAGAGCAGATCGGAGGTTTGGATGGGGAGCTGTTGAGAAAAGTTGCAAACTTCGAGGGCATGGGGCCTTGTTTTCATTTGGAAGAAAAAAAAGAAAAAAAAACCATGTGAGCACTCGCAACAATGAGCAACATTTTCTGACTGGCAACAAAAGTATCAAGCGAGAGATACAACTGAAAATGATATCACATGGTGAAACTGAGGACGGAATATTTGCATCTTTTATAAGGGACTTCTTCCTCCAGCTCGAGTGGTGAAAGCCATGGAAATGCTAAAAATTTCTGGCTGAATTATTCGGCTCGTTTTTACTTAAGTATATCATTTTGTCATAAGAGGAATTAGGCAAGAGATTTTTCTTGTGAATGAATATATTTTTGGATAACATCAGCAAGGTGATCTACTCTTTTTTATGGGCATAGTGAATGAATGAAAAAAGCATAAAATGCACACTTAGAAACTATCTTGCAATTACTGCTTCGCACCTAAAAACAACATCACATGGTGGAAAAAGAAAAGCAGCAAATTCCTAGACAAGGGTAAAACAGACCTAATAAATGAAGTTGCAGATGGGAGAATATGAAGTTCGGCTTGGAGATATCAGATTTCTGCTACAATAAAAGCGAACAATTGAGTATTGTGAAGGCTCAAGAAAGGAGAAATCCTACTTCATAATACTTGAAATACAAGGGCAAAAGAGAAAAATTTTAATCCTGCATCACTTCAGGCTAGGTGGAGCACCACAACTGGGTTGAAAACTTTTTTTAAGCATCATGAGTTATACTATAGCTATACATGCACTGTTACTATACTTCCTGTTTTTGAAAGGCCAACTCTAAGAACAATGTCTTTTATCACAAATTCTACCCATTCAATTCAAATAAGTATATATAAAATAGGTGGTAACATGGAAGCAGAGCTCAGATTCAGAAGAAATTAGAGCTCAGAAGAATATGACATTTTTCTCTGGCTGTTATTTCCATTCTTACCCAAATGGCGTTCCATTCTGACCAAGGACATACATTCATCAGCACTGGTGACCTATGCTAGGTCAAGAAACTTTGATGTGTGAGTTAACGAAATTGAAATTAATATATAGAACAATTTAAGTACATATCAAGCGATAACATCTGATTTGGGTAAAGGTTTCACAACAAACGCAAATGATTAGCCCCCACAGGTCTTCAGATAGCAACTTACAACTAAAAACATACGCTGCTCTAACAACTTTAGAGCTCCTAAACCAACCTTTTCCTAATAATAGGGGTTTGGATTCAAAATAATTTATGTACATACAGTTCTTTGTACCTAATTTGAAATTCTCGAAGAGTTATACTAGAGCCTCTCTTTTTTCACACTACATAAAGCAAAGGCGAACAAAAAAAATTACTTGATAAGCAACACTGTCAAGAAATGGAATGTGAATTTCCGAAAATATACTATGCAGGGTTGCCACAGAATTTAGAAAATGAATTTCCCTGACAATTGAAGATGTGTCAGACGGTTAAAAGACGTACTTTAAAAAAGTTTTCAGGCATTTTTTATGCAAAACGTCAAAACCTTTCTAGGGAGAAAAAAAAGGTGACTTAACAATTTGTCCTTGTCACTTTCATTATTTTCCCTAACTTTTCAAAATTACTTGAAATTTCCCAGCTTTTCCCAACTGTGGCAACCCTAATTATAGAGCACTTTTTTGTAAGGTTCCAGTACCTTCCCATTTTTTGATACTTGTGAAAACCTTTAGACTGTTAAAACTGAAAGGATGTTTTTTCTTAAATTAATACTGATTTTTAAAACAGTGCAAACTGCATTAAGACAGAAGATGGTAGGAAATCATACTATGAAAAGTTCTTTAGTTGATCTGAGAATAAAAGAGAGAACGATGATACATACATCTAATACCATAGGCAGGAAAGAAACTAGAGATAACTTCAAGGAATTGAAAACAAGATATGAGGCTAGAAAATTCTTTGGCAGAGAGAAATGATTTTAGAATCTCACGAATACAGATGTTAAAAAACTTTCTTCTAATAAGATAAAATAGAATTGCACTTTTCATGGCCTCCAGTGAGAGATGGACATATTTAGAGGCAGCACTTGGAAGATTTTCAATACTGTATTCCTATGGGCTGAAAAGGGATTGAAGAGCGCACAGTATCTACATGATATCATCGCTCGACTGAACATGTCCTGATGGCGTTAAGAGAAGTTCTCAATATTTCCTTCCATACAATTTACTACTCACATTTGTTCTTGACTGTTATCATAATCAGGTTGGTTTGGTGTATTAAGCAAAGTGCACTTACAAACACAGCATCTGGCCTGTAAAGAAAGAGAAATAGGGAAATTAACAAGAATTAAAACAAAAGGGTAAAACCTGTTGGCATTTCCTTTCCACTTCTTGTGACCAGCTGAGCTAATCTTTTGAAAGCAAAGGTCACAGTCTTTTCCTACCACTCAGTTGATTTCAGCTGAAGTCCCTAACTGACTGACCCAGTTGTAATGTGATAAGAAATTTAAAACATTTTCAGTTACTCACTTGCGGTGACCTTCTTAATCAGTTGTACCGGTCTAATGTACGTGTCATGTCTGGGGTTTGGTATGTTGCTGCCATTATCGTGAATATTGTTTTTTTTTTTTTTTGTTATACCTTGGTTCTGTTAGCTCTTTGCAAGCACAAAAACTTCCTCTGGTAAAATATTTTTCATGAGCTCGTTAAGTCTATCAAAAAATTGCTGAGAATCGCTAAAAATTCAATGTTTTAAGATGCCATTGTGAGAATTTATGGTCAAATACAATATGTTAAAATGCTTAGAAAGCACTCGGATGGCTAAAGAAAACAAACTGGGTCCAAAATATTATTTTACAACAAATTTTGATAAGACTTGGGGAGAAAAACGTATTAAATTGTAATTTTCATTCAGTACATATGCTGATTGATGTGTTCTTTGACGCACTGGAGCAAACTTGATGGAAGTCATTACAAGACATGCATTAATATTAATAATACTTACTGTCCTTCTTTGAAATAATCTTTCAGCGTGTTACTAAATTTTTTAGAGAATTTGACAAACTCTCTTTTTCTTTGCTCTAATACTTGTTTGTTATTCGAGCCAGGGATGAAACCAGCAACTTCATTTACAACATCTAATAGTTTCTTTATAGCACTGGCGATTTCTCTGGAAAATGGATTACAAAGAAAGATTATTAGGACAGGAGAAATTTTTCAGAAAAAAGCAAAAGATGAAAGATAAGAACAGGGCATGATGATTTTTTAAAGATAAATGTAGTTCCTAGTTCATGCACTGCAGAAAAGTTTGAAGAATTACTTTTGATTCTGCATAAGAGGTGTACTTTATTATCTTAGTAAACTTCAAGAAATGTTGAAACTCTACTAAATAAAAGGAAAGTGGGCCGCAACTAATTACATAGATACATAATTGTCGCTGTCATATCACTCTGCGATACCTAACCGCCACCAAACTTGGTCTTCCCACAACCCGTCAGGGAGTTGGTACTCCCTCATTGCACTTAAAACCCCCTTTTGCCACCTTTTCGTCTCCTCCCTGGAGGAACCCTATCAAGCATTTTTCACAGAAATCTTGGAATACACTTCTTCAAATATTTCAGGGCATTTTATTTTCAATTAGATCTAAATTATCTGAAAAGATCAAGAGAAAATATTCATAGCTTTCCTTAAAAATAAACATTTTGAAGGAGGAAATTTGGTGAGTCTTGAATATTCATATGGTGCCTGGCATAGCAGTACAGATAGTTTTCAAACTTTTTGGTTGTTATTAATTATGCCCCTCGGAAAAACTGCATTTGCCAAACAAAGGGGAAAACTGAATCTCACCAAACATTAGAGCTGTGCTGTTTTAAAGTGGATTGCATATTGCAAAAAGGAACCAAGAGCATTCCAATGTTGCAAAAATTGTGCGACTTTTTTACCTTGCACATATATACTAATCATCTGGACAAGTTTCTTCTTTAATCCCGATATTCAAGACAAAAATTACCTTTGTATCTTTGTAATTTTCTGCACGATTTCAGTAATTTTTTTGCAAAGGATGCAAATTGTACAACCCTGGCAACATTGAAATGCTCTTGGTTCCTTTTTGCAAAATGCAATCCAAGTGATATTGTGTTGTCCAATTTGGATGATTCCTTTAATTGAGCATCCAGTGCAAGGCTGGGAGTAGTTGCTTTGCGTTCATACAAAAAAAAAAAAAAAAAAAAAAAAAAAAAAAAACCAAAATTCTCTTGAAAGAAGTCAATTAATAAAGTTCAGATTATAAGTAACATCAACTTACTTGATTGTTTCTAAAAATGTTTTTCTGTCCATGATTTCATCCGGGATCCTGCTTAGGATTTTCTTTAAAGAGGAAGATTTTCTGTTCAGCTCTTGAAAAGCATCTTCCGATCTGTTCAGTCTGTATTCAGCAGCTGAAAGTAGGCAAAAAAAATTAAACTTCGAATAATTCACTGAATAAACAAACCGTTTATGAATTTTTTTTTCACCTCTCACCAATTTTTTTATAAATAAATTTTCAAAAGACACACGTTTTCAGGAATTGAAAAATTCTAGAATTTGCACGTAGTATTTTGTTCGACGCAACAACTCGGGACATCTCGTAACAATCATATTTTGTTCGGATGTTCTTTCTATTAAGGGGCATGGCCTATTTTTATTCGTTTATTTTTTTGTACAATTTGGCAAAGTTTTCGTAAAATTGTTTCGAAACAATTGGAACGTCCTCGGAGCTTCTTACGACTGTTGTGTGCATTTGTTAACAGGATTTCTAACCTCACTTCTAGCTGCTTCGCTCTCATTGGTTGTGAAAAAGTGATGCAAATAACACAAAATTGATAACAGGAAACAATTGTTACGTCGAACAAGATACGTCTAAAATAATTTTCCTGTCTTTCCAGCCGCCCCCCCCCCCAAAAAAAAATCAGTTTAACATGAGAGTAAGTATAAGGTCGAATTAAGCCATTTTCGCTGAAAAACCTTTATTATAAGATAGGGTAAGGGAAACTTTTCAAGCATGTTATGGATGTTTTCCTGTGTATTTTTAATTGCGAAATCCGAGCTGAGTTTATTTATCATGCGCTAATTTCCTGAGAGAAACACTAGTTTATGATTTTCCAAGGATTTGGAGGATATTGGGAAAAACCTGAGGTCATTTTTGGACTTCAAGCTAATATTTACATTAGAGGTGGACCACTTTTTTTTGGTACAGACTTGTGATATGGATCGTATTCTATAGTGGTTTGATGTATTGTTAAGAACAATAGAACATAGCCGCAAACAAAAATTTTAGGATCTAAGTTATAAAAGCTGAAACAGAGGAAATTCCTAAAAAATTCACTTGTCAAGTAGTGATCACAAGAATAAAAATAAATTACAAAAATCCATTCACACAGATTACTTGATTGACTTCTGAGGCTATTTTTACATGTTGAACCAATTGATATCCATATTACATATCTCCGTGATGGAATGCCTGTTTGATGAATCAAATACGATCCATTTATTCCAGCATCTTTTCTGTTTCTTGCTTCTCTTCTTTGTCATTAAGTATTGAGAAATAAAAATAATAATTCAAGGAAACTCACCGTCAGAGTCTGGGACAGCACCTTGCAAGCGAAGAATACTTTCATTCATATTCACACTTAGTTCCGCCTGGTTCATTATTCCTACAACTAAATCATAAGCAAATCCAGGGTAGACAGCCTCTACTTTGGTTAGAGCTGCTTTTAGAGTTTGAGAGGCTGTTGTATCCACTTTTTCAAGCTGTAAAAAAAGATCAATACGTTGTAAGAATACTTTCACTATATCTGGGTAAATTGTAACAGAACCTTTGTGGAATGTGTGAGCTGAGAGATACTTACCCTATGACTTTCAATTCACACATTTTCGTGCGGAACATATTGTGGTATATAACCTGTATTGAGAGTTATTGCAAATAAAATCATGTTCCATCTTACACATCGATTGAGAAAATGTAAACCTGAGTGAAATCTGTTACTTATAGCAAAAAATGCATACTTAAACTAGGAATGTCATGATGGTGATGTCACACAGTCATTTACAAAAAGTACACAATCTGATACAGATTCCATATCAGAAATACTTTAGCTACAAATGCTCATCAGTTAAAGACATTCTTACTTAGAAATATTTCTGGGCCACACTGCTGGGTAAACAAGCAGGAAATTTCTTGATCTAGACAGTCCAGAGGGAGCTTCTCGTGTAAGGGCTAAACTTTCTTCCGAGAGGAGTATTCTGATAAGTCTTATTTTTTCCTGATATTTCGACTTGACTCTTGAACAAGAATTGCACTGAGATGCTAAGACTTGAAAATGTGTAATGATAAAGTGGGTACATCGCAGTCAAACATATCGAATCCAAGTTGTTTGGCCGCTTTCAAATTACTCCATGCAAACTAGTTGCGATAAATTGTTGTTTCTGAGGACGAGTAGGGAAAAATTGTATTGGTAGACTGACTATTTGGTAGACGAATAAAGATAAAGAAAAACTATGCATTACCTGGGATAGAATTGGTCTAACAAGAATTGGCAGGACAAGAGAAGAGACGGGTGTTTCTTCTCCCATTGTCATTGTCGACAATCAGTGAGTAAGGAGCTCGAGATTGACAGAAACAGAATGAAACTTAACTTTAGATCGCGGCACGGAGGTGAAGTCGAAAAGTCAGGAGGAAACTCGCATGGTTACATTTACGTGATGGGACAATTATAGCTCAACTAGAGATTACATAGATCATCACGAAACTTTAAAACGAGCTAAGAAAGAGGAAAATTCAACAATATGCGGAATGCGGAGTAAAGTAGATGTATCTACACGGCTTGAACTAGACCCTAGACAGATTTGCCCAATTTGCTCTGGATTCTCTGAACAGTAAATGCAGTAAGTACCAAAACAATCAAGATCAACCAAGGCGGATAAAGAAAGATCAACATGGAATTTTATCTATCACCCTGCTATCACCACACATACAGAGCAGAGGTTAGCTTTCGCAGCCATTTTGATTCGTTGGTGGAATGTCATTGACGTCATACCGAGTGCAGAAATACCACTCCAGATCGCGTGCGAGATAGGCGGGAAAATCTTCAGGCATTTAAAAATTAGGAATCCTCCTTACCCGTTGCCCTTACCAATAAAATTGCACATTTTCACAAAAAATGGCAGGATTCAACCATCAAAAAAAAAAAAAAAAAAAAAAAAATTGGGCTTATTTTAAAAAGACATAATTTTAGTGGACTACAATCGAGCCGAACATTGCTTCAAAGTTTACAGTTTATGCGGGAAATGATCGGTATTGTGATCCCAACTTTTTGAAAATGGCTGTTTGTCCCAAAGAGGAATTAGGCCAATGTCTACTCCGCTAGACAAGTTCGGCTAACATAACGATGGTGAAAGTATGCAGAAGTGCGTATCTCGATTTTTGACAGTTTTGAGTTAGCTGCATAAACATGTAGTTGAAGATGTCGTCTATCAGCCAGCAAGAGATAATAATCGAAAAAAATCGGGAAGTCACCTAAAACCGTAGAACTTTTTTCGCGTATCTCTGGTTTAAGTGCAGGAATGCGTATCTTGTTCAGGCCTGTTCATTTTTCGGCGCGCCTTACGCACAAGCGTTTCTCGCCAACACCGCACATCAGCTGATCAGCTGTTCTGTGTTTGTTTTCAATGGTTTTCATTTATCTATCTAAAAGAAAAGTTGATGTGGATAAATGTGGATAATCAGGCAGTCCAGCATGCATAATATCAGTGAATACTGGTGGTAGGCCGATAGACGAGGGAAGGGGGGGATTAGGTACTGTTACTTGTCATTAATGTTGCATACGCTTGAAATTGAAGGCGGATTATCACTCGAGGGCCCTCCAGTATCATTTCTTCATAGGTATCTATTACCTACTAGCAGCGCTAGGCGTTCATGTCCATTTTTACTCTCTGGGCCAATGCAATCATGAACTGATTGAACTGACGGTTCATCACAACGGTCAGTTTTATTAGAGTCAATCCGGTCAAACAATGCTTCATTTAGTGTATTGGATCGACTAAATCTTCTAAATAAGTTTTAAGGTTGTATAAATTATATTTTTGATCTGACAGTTTTACCTTTGGTAATTTTAGTTTTTCTAGCTTTTCCATCTATCCGAATTTTGTATCTAATGGATGAAATAAAAAATCCTATGTTAACATGTAAAGTAACAAAACGCTACGCAAACGCATGTAGCTTCAAAACGCTAATTGCAGAAATGCGTATCCCGTAATCTAATGTCAGTTTCCAATCAGGCAATGCTTGATCCGGCCGTATGAGGTCAAGCTAAAGCTTCTGATAAAGAATTGTAAGCATGAAACCCTTTTTTCAGTTTTCGAATGATCAAAATCCGCCAACAATAGATTTAAAACACTAATTGCAGAAATGCGTATCTCATGATAAAGTGTCAATTCTCAGTGCCGGAAACGCGAATCTCGGCATTTCGGCCGTATTTTCTAACAGCGCGAGAAATTATTCAAAATATTGATGAAGTCTGAAAAAGCATCTTATTCTTGCTATCCTCAAGAATTATTACCCTTCTACTGACAATATGACAATACTGACAATGAGGAGGAATGTAGACAATTTTTTCACTCTCCTGAAAAATCGTGTTTTCCGAGATACCTACGTATGCAATTGAAGGCATTATGACTGGCCTCTCTCAACTTATATTCGTCTGTAACGATAAACAATGGGACGCGTTCGCTACGGCGCCTTGATACAACCATATAACCTCGACGGATGTCCGTATTGCGTTCAAAAAATTGAAGGCGTTTTGACTCCTTGCTCATACTACCTATGGTGGTTGATTCGATCGACAAACGCGGTGGTCGGCGGTGACGGGGACTTGATGCAACTTTTTAAACTTGATGGCTGTCCGTATCGCACCCACTGAAGTGCCAAACCACGTATCTCCATTGCGGTGTTTCAAAATTTCCACTCTTAATTCATCTCTTCCATGAGAAACAATCCAAATCTACGACTTTAAATTTTGAATCAAATCTTCTGCTATCGAATACGAAAAATCATGGAGAATTTAAGTTTTATGTTGACTAGCTTCTCGAAAGAAAAATAAAATTTCTAAGGAAGTCTGTAACGTCGCAAATGGAGAAACGCCGTCTCTCATTTTGCCCGAAAATATGTACGTTTGCAATTGAAGGCATTATGACTGGCCTCTCTCAACTTATATTCGTCTGTAACGATAAACAAAAACAATGGGACGCGTTCGCTACGGCGCCTTGATACAACCATACAACCTCGACGGATGTCCGTATTGCGTTCAAAAAATTGAAGGCGTTTTGACTCCCTGCTCATACTACCTGTGGTTGATTCGATCGACAAACGCGGTGGTCGGCGGTGACGGGGACTTAATTCAACTTTTTAAACTTGATGGCTGTCCGTATCGCACCCACTGAAGTGCCAAACCACGTATCTCCATTGCGGTGTTTCAAAATTTCCACTCTTAATTCATCTCTTCCATGAGAAACAATCCAAATCTACGACTTTAAATTTTGAATCAAATCTTCTGCTATCGAATACGAAAAATCATGGAGAATTTAAGTTTCATGTTGACCAGCTTCTCGAAAGAAAAATACAATTTCTAAGGATGTCTGCAACGTCGCAAATGTAGAGAAGTCGTCTCTCTTTTTTCGCATTGATGTTTGAAAGGCTGAAGTATAATTTTGAGTCTCCTCCCTCTCTATCTTGTATACGTCTGTACTGCAGTGCTAAGGAAGAACGCCGTATGAGCCTTCAGACGTTGCCATATTTTCTGGAATAAAAGCATAATTTACTGAGAAAATTTTGAATATTTTTCTTCAATTTTTCCATACAATTAATTACGCAATTTAATCTAAAATATCTGAAAATTCCAAGGGATATTATGCATCACTTTTCTCGAAAATACATGTTTTCTTTTGGGAAATTTGGCAACTCCTAAATTTTCATACGGTGTCCTTCCTCAGCATGGCAGTGTAGCGATGTACGGTATGGGACGCGTTGACCACAGCGCCTTGATGCAACTATTCAATCTCGGTGAATGTCCGTATTGCGTTTAATAAATTGAAGGCGTTTTTATTCTTCTGGGCACTAGCTACAATACGGCCACGCCGCTTGGGGTGCAGCAACAACGAGACCGTAACGACAGTTTCGCGCGATTTTATTTTGTATTTGTGGCTGTACGCTTTGAGATACCAGCGAAAAAGATCGTGGATGTGTAAATTAATGCCATGAGGTTTAATGACAGATGGAGTGTCATATTACGGAAATTCGTTCACCTCTAGCATGGGGTCTGCTTTTCATGGGGGAAACACATGACATAGTATAGTAGCAAATGAATTGTTCAAATTAGGTATGTATTTTGACGAAACATTACAAAAAATATTTGGGAATGCCTAGCTAGGTATTCCAAAAGTGTAGTCTGGGGTGGAGAATCCATGACGAATAATTTCTTGGGGGAGGGGGAGGAGAGATATGTGAGATATGATTTGTCTCCTGTATTAAGTTTTAAATACAGCTAATCAGACTCCTTTACATTTTTAGTATATTTTTTTCCACATCATATGGGAAAATGTTTATGCCCAAAATTGTATTTATCAAATGAAAGAATGAACTTTGATATGAATTTGAAATTTTACAACATATCACGGATAATTTTTACATGTTTGATCATGTGATTTTGAGGTATAAAAGTAAGAAAACAATTTACCTATCATTAGAGTATACAATATTAGCATAAAATAAAAATTGAAATATACGAAAGAAAAAAATCACAGCCTTTCTCAGAATATATGACACACAAAGGTAATTTTATATTATCTCCTAAGTAACTTCTGTAAACACTCAAGATTTTTTTTCTCATTTCCTATTTTATAGGTAACACGTCAGGTTTATTGGAAAATTGAGCTTTTTTCCCTTATGCATTCCAAAGAAGAATGATTTATAATAGTTTCCCCTCCTGCACTCCTTATCCGTAGATCATCAACATATTGAGGCTCTCTTATGTTAATTGAGGCTCTCCTATGTTAGAGCACAACAAACGAAATATTCATCGTTTCCCTCTTGTTTATCATTCAGTGGCGTGGCGTGAATTGCGATATATCGATTTTTATGCCATTTAAATGTATGGAAAAGGATCGATAAACAGAGTGTTCGCAGCGAACACCTTATTAATCGATTCTTTACCGTAGGTTTAAATGGCAGAACAATCGATATATCGCAATTCACGCCACGCCACTGTTATGATTAACTCGTGAATCGCCAATTCTGGTACACTTTTCTCTAATCGAGCTAATTGTAAAACAGAGGGTCGCGTGTTCGCCTGTCTTTTTCGATTCAGCTGGCAGAGACACATAACACTTTTGAGAATCAACTCAAAGGGAAGAACGTGATAGCTACATTCTTCGAGTTCACTTCTCTCTAGTCCGAGAGAAAATCAGCATCATTTTTCAAGCACCCGCGGCAATGCCTTTCTTTATGTAATCAGCATTTGCAACAATATCGTCACCCAAACGCACGATTGCACATACGACACTATCTCGATAAGGTCTTTTTTCCATCACGTGGCCAAGCGCTTCCAATCCCTTGAGAATTTCCTGAAGGACAAAAAGATACTCAAGTTACAAGATTGCACTTTTCGAAATCGCTGAGTAAAATTTAGAGAGCTTTACACTCCAGGGATTTTATGACTCCCAAAAGAATCTAGAGCTATGATTGTCAATAAAAAGTGAAAATCGCTTCAAACTAACCAAATTGTCACTACAGCACATTAAATTATCATTTAAATTTCACGCAGAACACGTTGAACGTATACGTGGTAATTCGACGCTTACATGGGAATATATTTGGACGTATTTACGCTAAAAGAAACTATGACGCACACAAAACTTATGCATACAGTTCCTTTTATCATAAATACGTCCATATAAGCAAGCATATGTAGCCTGATTCTGTAACTTACTGTAAATAGAGCGATCCCCATCGGTGGGTCACGACTTTTATCTGGCGATCAACCTATAAACTTTGAGAAACGGCCGAAATTTTGGATGGTGGTGCTGGTACCCTCTGGGTAATTGTTTTGGTTTATAAATGAAAAAGTTTTTGGGGTCGAATGCCTGACAAAACGAGTGACCGAGCAGACCTTTTATATGCGATACCTTACAGAATGAAGCTGCTGCTCCGAAATCACCTGAAGTGGTAACTTACCTCTGAAACACCCTCTTCATAGGTGACATTCATGGGTATTAACTGGTTATGTAATCTGGGAGCATCAATTGCTGCTTTAATGCCTAAATCCATCCATAAGTGCCTCATTATGACCTAGAACAAAGATTTGCATTCACTAGAGTGAAAAATAATATCTACCGAGTGATTTTTCATCGATAAGGTACCAAAGATTATATTCGTCAGTATACGGTATCGACGAATAACATTTTAAAAATACTAGACGCAGTCAAAATTTCAAGAGGTAATAAGCAGAACATACTGTAATTATCAATAGTATATTTATCAGACTTCATTGAGCCATAGAGTTTTGCCATTGTTCCTTGGAAATCATATACGTGCGGATATTTTAGCTTGTAATATTACTTATCTCCTGTCGCGTTTCATTTTTTCGACAGACGGAGTGGGCATCGTTTTTGTTCCGGATTGGAACGTTGCAATACACCTAAATGATGCATTTCTCGGAAATTTGACAATGTCGCGATAAAACTCAGTATTGGTTTACTTTTTCGGCACAAGAGGCAACGCTGGAATTAAGTATGGGTGTATGTAAGAAAAACAATTAAAGCTTCAGTCGGTGTCACATGCGGTGAATATACTAAACGAATTTCATTATATCGCCTGGACGCAACTATTCGGGCTTCATGGATGTTCGTGGTGCATACACACGACAGTGAAGGCGTTTTCACTTCAGACACTGACCGGACCGCCTCACAAGCGGCACAAAAGACACACATACCCTACGCCTGTATGCAGCTATTCGCGTAGGAGATATACAGGGTTATCCAAAAGTCACCTACCACGCCTGTAACTTTTTTCCTAATTGAGATAGAAGTTTGAAACTTTCGGAATGTTCCTCGGTTTAAGGTAGCAACTTTTTGGTCACCCCAAAATTTTGGGGGGCGGCCGCCCCTAAGGGGGGCGGGGGCTAACTTTTTTTGCAAATGGCAACCCCCCTTTTGTGATACCTCATTCGAAAGACAATAAAAAAAGAAAATTTTTGGCGCAAACCGCAGGTCAAAATGTTAATTTTTGACAAAATGGCGGCCGGTCAAAGTTTAAAATGGCAGAAATTTGGCATCTCCGTTTTTTTATCGGCGGATTGGTCTGAAACTCAGAATCCTAGGGTTTTTCGGGACGAGAAAAACGATTCTGGCATTAGTTTTCCAGAGATGTCAGTACTTTTCAAAATGGCGGCGGTTAAAATGGCGGCTTAGAGCGGGAAGTGGATATTTAGGCTGCTTATCGTCGGATTTGTATGAGACTTGGTATCCCGGGGTATTTCGGCACGAGAAGAACGAATCTTTCATTGGATTTTTGAAATTTTTAAAAACTTTAAAATGGCGGCGACAAAAATGACGGAAAATCCATATCACGGCTGTTTACCGATGGATTTGCACAAAAGTCAATACTCTGGTGGTTTTTGGCTCGAAAAAAATTAATCTTTCATTAAATTTTTGAAACACTGAATATCGTCAGAACGGTGACGGAAAAATAACGGAAAATCAGCATCCACCATCGCCATTCGCATTTTTGCCGCCATTTTAAAGTTTTTAAAAATTTTAAAAAAATTTTTCCAGTAAAATTACCGAGAAACTTCAATAATTTTACCGAGATTTCTCGGTAAAATTACCAATTCCATAAATGGTATTTTACCAAGAAAAAACTGGGTACAAATAGAACCCTGAATTCTTGGTAATTTTACCATTTTCCTAGTAAATACACCGAGATTTTTTTTTTCAGTGCGGTGTGGTAGGACCCAAATCAGCTTACAGAAAATATATTTCTCACTTCATTCATTGCTGTAGGATCATGTAATCAGAGCATTAGTGAACTGAGTTCATAAAACGACGAATTAATGATGAAGTATTCACAGTAAGCGGCTTAAAATTTTTGCATAAAATTCTGGGTAAGGCGTTGACAAAAATCATGGGGATGTTTCTTCTCAAAGCTAAGCTTGCGGAATTCCTCCCTGGAAAAGAGGATCGGTCGAAAATGTGAACCACTTCTTGAAGCCGCAAGTGAATTCCAACCTAAGTTCTTACATAACATCTTATCATGTTGCTTTCATATCTACAGGAATGATTTCCTGCTGATGTAACTTGTGATAACACATTGCTCCACTCTCATATTTATCACGGCGACACAATCTCCGATCGACCAATAAGATGCCCTCTTTTAATCACGGCGTAAGGTGACGTCATGACAGCTGTATAAGTAACACGTAGACAACCCTGATGTCGGGTATTTTTTCATATCTTCCAATGGGCCCCGCGGTCGCGCAGTAATTTTTAACTGCATCTTCTTTTTCACAGTTAAAATAACCCGATTTTTCGTATATTATATTATTCCTAACGTTCTCCTCTCCAGATCATTTCTGGTCTAAAATGTCATTGATAGTCAGTTTTAAACAGATGTTTTTTTTTTTTTTTTTTTTTTTTTTTTTTTTTTTTTTTTTTATTTATTCAGTATTATATACAATTAAAATACAATACAACAATGTGATCAGACTCATCGAGTCTTTTTACACTTAAATTTAACACTGTAAGTATACTAGAATAAGAAAGGCACTTTTTGGTGGTGTTAAACAGATGTGAAGAAAACTTTGGTTACGGTGCTTCTTGTCGATACGAATACTCAAAAAGAATAGTATTAAATCTTACCTGCGCTAAAGCTGTCGGAATTTTGGTTCCACCTGACGCACCGATAACCATCCTGACGTCACCATTGTCACTGACAATAATACTGGGACTAGTGGAAGAAATAGAACGTTTCCCGGGTTCAATAAAGTTAGTTGGGACAGGAGGTAATTTGAAATAGTTAATCAGCCCAGGTGTGGAAAAATCATCCATTCCACTGTTAAGAAGTATTCCTGTCTGTGATGATGTGACTTGAGCACCAAAACTGAAATAAGTGAATAATTATTTAAACAAATAAAAAAATGAGAAAAAACAAATAGCAATAGTAAATCCGAAATTAAAACTATAGGTAAATTAAGACATTAATAAATGCCTAGTTGTAATCGTGGTATACGTAAAGAATTTAATGAAATCCTACAACCTAAGTAACAAAGAATACGAAGCACACCTAAGCTTTTCATAGGCCAAAAGAAAATACTAGGATGCAAAAGGAAGGATTGGCCAAAATTTAAGGTTTAAGACATCATGTGAATTTTTAATAAGTCGGTTGCAAAATTCAGCTACAAACCGCCCTTTAAGTAAAGCCTGCCTCTTGAATTTCAGGTAATGTCAACATTCCAAATCCATGTATTGGCAAAATCAAGCTTCGTGAGATTTTTGAGCGTGAAAGACTGATTTTTCTCAGGTCTTCATGATAAAATCTTGGAATATNGGGGGGGGGGGGGGCTGAACTACAACTATAGATAATTTTAAACGTAAACGCAATCTAGCCATCCTCAATACCTTCTTATGGCTCCCACAATCGATATTTTTCTTCTCTTTTCTTCGCCATTTTAGAAACAAAATTAGTCAGTAATGTAGGTAATTAATTTTAAGTTACGGTGTTTAGCACTTTCACTGCTTTCTCTTTCTTCCTATCCGTCCTCTTCCTTGCTTTTTTTCCACTTCTTAAAGTGCTTGTAAAAACTAATGTAAGTACATAGTGCATTATTGATGTTAAAGGTAAATAATCAGGACCCCTCAGGTCTATTTATGTTATGTATTTATAGTGCATTATTGATGTTAAAGGTAAATAGTCAGGACCCCTCAGGTCTATTTACGTTATGTATTCATATCATTATAAATAAATATTTTTTTGAAAAATCTATTTCCTTCAATTTTTTTTTGACAAGCAAAGGGGGTGACCGACCGTGCACGCTCTCTTCTCTATCAACTGGTACTATGGAAACTCAGTGATGGAATGAAATTATGTTGTGTTTGGACGGTGTGAGAAGCAACCGGAGGATCCGTTCGGTGAAAAGCGGTAATCTTTTCCTGCGAGACGGTCAAAGACTTACTAAAGATTGACGGTTGACGTGACAGAGACGGCATCTCCGTTGGGTGCAAGAATACTGATGTGCGCAGTCCCTGCGTCATCTTTGCTCGCAAGCGTGGCTCCATAATGCTGAGGATCATCGAACGTCTTATCATCCCGAATTTGATGGAATGTCTCATTAGCGTATTCATCGGATTGCAGATCCGTCAGAAGCTGCAGAAGGAGATTATTTAGTTAAAAATAATTTAATTTTAATGTTTTAGTTAGACAATTTTTGGCGATTCCTCGACGTATTGTTATCGACACTTTTGAGAACTCCATCGATTTAGATTAAACTGAAGGAGAATTCCCGCGAGTGGATTCGGTCGGCTTCAGCCCAATTCACACCATCAAACTTTTCATCCAACATAATCAGACGAAAAGTTGGATGGAAAGTTGGATAGTGTGATACTGACGCGAGATAACGACAATTTGATGAAAAATTGAACGAAAAGTTTAATGTGACGCCACGTTCAAGTTTCCGTTCAATTTTTCATCATATTGTCGTTTTCTCGCGTCAGTATCATACTATCCAACTTTCCATCCAACTTTTCGTCCGATTATGTTGGATAAAAAGTTTGATAGTGTGAATTGGGCTCTTATCAACCAGATCGGCAGGGTTGCAAACCGAATAGGAGAAAAACGCTCGTTTGAAGTCCATAACTAAATTCAGTTGCTTGATGGTCAACGCTTGGCATCCATCCACTTTTCAACCCACGTCAGGAGAGGGGTCGAGAATTTCGGATTTGGTCGTTATTGCTGCCAGCATGCACACCAAATTTTGTAGGTGCACCCTGCACCGTCGCCAGGAGGGAATTCAGTGTTTCTAGTACAGGGTGTCTCACGAAAAACGAGCCACCTTGAATATCTGCCGAACGCGTCGGAATTTCGAAAAACGGTAAAAGACGTGTTCGTTTATATCGAGGGGGACACCTTTTGGCGTATTCGACATTTTCCCAAACCGCGGGAGGGGCGCGGGGCGGGGGGTGCCCCACCCGTAAGTCGAACTTTTCAAATGGCACCCCTACTTTTTTATTTCAGAAATCAATTCTACGCAAAAAAAACAAGCCACCCTGTCCAAACCGAATGTAAATCGGACAATTTTTCAGTGATTGACAGAGTTTGAAACATTTTTTTCATGCTCTTTTCAAAAATTTCCCACGCCCAATGGAATTGCTGTATCAAACGAAACTCTCCGCCAAAAAAATTCTTAAACATGGCACTTTCGATAAAAAAATAAAAAAAATCTGCTGCACTCGAAATCTGGAGCACGCGGAGCCCTTCTTTGCGACATTAAAATTCGTTATACCGAACATTTCCGGGGGGCGCTCATCGGGAGGGAGTAGTAAGTTTTAGACAAGAATTATTAATCTTTTTTCTGAACCATAAGAAACCGTGTCCATGAAGAAGCAGTTAAGTAGAAAAACAACGTACCGCGGAAAAATAGCGTCCTCAGAAGTATCAAGGTCCGGCTCAAGTCATTGACCCCCCCCCTCCCCCCAAAAAAAGCTAATCCATTTGTTTTTCTACTTAACTGCTTCTTCGTGGACACGGTTTCTCATGCTTCAGAAAAAAGATTAATAATTCTTGTCTAAAACTTACTACTCCCTCCCGATGAGCGCCCCTCGGAAATGTTCGGTATAACGAATTTTAATGTCGCAAAGAAGGGCTCCGCGTGCTCCAGATTTCGAGTGCAGCAGATTTTTTTTATTTTTTTTATCGAAAGTGCCATGTTTAAGAATTTTTTTGGCGGAGAGTTTGGTTTGATACAGCTATTCCATTGGGCGTGGGAAATTTTTGAAAAGAGCATGAAAAAAATGTTTCAAACTCTGTCAATCACTGAAAAATTGTCCGATTTACATTCGGTTTGGACAGGGTGGCTTGTTTTTTTGCGTAGAATTGATTTCTGAAATAAAAAAGTAGGGGTGCCATTTGAAAAGTTCGACTTACGGGTGGGGCACCCCCCGCCCCGCGCCCCTCCCGCGGTTTGGGAAAATTTCGAATACGTCAAAAGGTGTCCCCCTCGATATAAACGAACACGTCTTTTACCGTTTTTCGAAATTCCGACGCGTTCGGCAGATATTCAAGGTGGCTCGTTTTTTGTGAGACACCCTGTATAACGGAGGTCGGCAGTAAGTTAAAAACTTAAACCAAATCCACTCGCGAAAATTTTCATTCAAAGAGGGCGTGGTGTACTTGCTATATCCAAGCTGGTGTACATACGTATTTTCTCGTTGGACTGACGAAACAATCACACCCTGAACCCCTGACGAAGGGTGTCAGGAAGTGAGTGGCACTCGAATGGTCTAGCCATGAAATTGAAGGCGCTTCAACACACGATAAATTGATCTGAAAGCGTGAGTATTTTTTGTCACTAAGTTCACATTACAGTCACAAAGTAACGTATAACTGTTGTGTGTTTTTTGGGGGAAAAAAGGGATTTCAAAATAAAGTTCCAGAAAATCAACTGCAAATCTGGCTTACCTGCGTCACGTTTATGAATTTTGGATCGCCTAATTTGGTTCGTTTCGCAAAAGCGAACTTAAAAGCTTCTATTATCCTGTGAAACGTTTTGATCCTTGCATCTCTATTTTTTAAATCTGCCGCTGAAAGCCTGTACATGTCCATTATCTTCAAAATATGAACGAGAAGTAAACCATTTCCCGGTGGCGGAGTGCTGAAAACCGTCTCATTGTTGTGCAGTGTGACTTTGACAGGATCTCTCCATTCTACACTGAGGCAAATACAAAAATGGACTAAAATAACTGCTTATGGCAAGAATGGACGTATTTTGCCAAATTTAAAATATGCCGGGATGTCTGAGAGGACTACTTCCATCAAATATTGTCGCGGAGGCCGAACATGACTTCAGTTTTTCGCCAGCAACTATTCCCGTTTTCCTACACTGGAAAAAAAACACATTGGATCTAGAGTCCAGACTCTTAAAAACATCGACAAGAAAAAGAACTCTTGATTCAATCAGAATCTAGCTTAAATCAAGAACCAAGTCTCTTAATTTAAGCGGATTTCCTTTTGACTCAAGCAAAAATCCGATTGAATCAAGAGTATTTTTTCTTGTTAATGTTTTCAAGAGTCTGGACTCTAGATCCGATGTGTTTTTTTCCAGTGTACATGAAGCCACAGAAAAAGTATCAGTCCACTTTTGGCCAAAAATTAATGGGAGAATATAGCTCCGTTAGATAATCAGGAGAATACTTTTCCCTATCCTTTCTTATGCAAAATAATCGATTGAGCTTTCCAGGGTAGTGTGTGGGCGAGAGAGGGCATCTGATTGGAAATCCCTTGTTATTAGGAAAAGAGGGAAATATTTGTTAAGCCTCTGATACGAATAATGCTTCATATTTTTTGCTGTTGAAATCTGAAACCACGTTTTTCCCCCTAACTGGCATGAATTAACCGGGAAATTGAACTTTATCCCAGAAAACATTCTATTAAAAACGTAAAAACGTAGGTTCTGCCCGGAATGTGCGAAATGAATTGGGTACTTAACGAAAGAAAAAAAAATTCTATTAAAAAAAGTAAAAACGTAGGTTCTGCACGGACTGCGCGAAATAAATAGCTCAACAAGAGAAAAATACGTATGCTTATTTACTTATTTACACATTAATTAAAAACAATTTTTTCCGGGCCGGCTTCGAGCATGTAACCTTTCTTAATGGGTTACGTCTACTTGGGCTCTCTACGGGGGCTAAGGGCTCCTTCCATTCAAGATGGGCTACGTGCCCCATACCGGTCGGAAATAATTGTTTTAAATGAGTGTACAATTGAGTCGTTGATCGATAGTATTTTCCCTTCTCTAGAAAATTAAAATTCAAGTTTTTGGGAAAATTCAGATTTTTTCGAGCAGAAACAAACTATTACAAAGAGACAGAGGTCTGCTCTTGATCCAGCCAAAATCAGTTTTTGGACTTTTTGGCATATTGAAAAAAAAGAAGAAAACAAATTATTTATTGACTAGCGTAAGGTGGCTGTAATTTGTAAAGGTCTATGTGTTCAATCATTTCCATGATTACATCCGCATGATTGAATGACTCAGAATGAGAGATTAATATTTAGTAACTTACGAATATTTATTCAAGTCTTCCATAGTAATAATTCCTCCCATACTTTGAACATCCTCGACAAAGGCTTGACCCAAGCGGCCGTTGTAAAATACTTTCGGCGTCTCTTCCGCCACTATTTTGAGAGTTTCGCACAGCTTTTGATTGGGAGTCACAAGCGTTCCCACTGGCTTGAATTTGTTCGTTTCAGGATCTACAAATTGATCTCTGCAAGCAAACACAAAGAGTATATGCGGTAAGTTTCCATCGAAGACTCTTGATTTTAACGAAACATAATTGTGTATGCTGGAGCTACATGTTCAACGTCCACCTGATCGAATTCTTATTTGAAGAAGTCTCGTTTCTGAAAATTGCGCGGCTCATTGAAGATTCTTTTAAAATTGCGGTTAAAAACGAAAATACTTCCGAAGGCACGCACCAGACACGATCAAGTGGACGTATTTCTGCCAAACAGTACTATGTGCATCATGACGTGAGCCGTATCATGCGTCTATTCTTACGGGTCTCAGGGCTCATGTCTTGATGCACATAGTTCCGTTTGGCGGAAATACGTCCAAATTTAAAAAAAAAAACTGCACATAGATTTGTAGGATTTGTCAAAGATTCTATCAAATTCGTACACTTCATCGTTTCTCTCAAGAGAGGGCGTAACAACATTTCAATGTTACCACATTTCCCCGCGCAAATTGCGTTTTTATCAGGAGAATCTTGTGGGATTTTCAACTAAAAATTTTACTAGTTTTTCATCTGATTCGTTTAAAAATCAGAAAAAATGCTTTAAAAAAATCGTGGTTTGCGATTTATTGATTGTTATGCCCAGGGCCGGATTTACCTACTTACCGCCCATGGGTCACCTGTATTTTGCCGCCCCCTTCTCATTCGCTTTGAAACATCTATGAAAACCATCAAGTGAACGCGCCGGAGGGAAAGGGGTGTATAAGACGCGTTTACCTGTATTGGACACATTTTTTGCGAAAGCCCTGTCAACACTACTAGCAAAAATTCACGGAACTTGGCGCGAAAGTTAAGTTCCGTAAACTTATCTCTGTGTGAACCAGGCCTTCCATTTATAAGAAATGAACGAACAAATTATGACGGAACAAACATAAATGTGGTTTAATAATTTTAACTTCCACCGCCGCGCAGCTCTGATCACACTATGTTTGGGACAATGCGTGAAGTATTTCTGCAGTCTTGTAGGCGCTATGTGTTTCACGCCGACCGCACTGTTTTTGACGCTATGCGTGAAGTATTCATGCAGTCTTGTAGGCTCTAATATGTGTTACATGCCGAGACCGCCAAGCCGAGGGCTTCTCCTTTTCATCTCAAGTCCTCGTCATCATTGCTATTATGCGCCACACCGCTCCAGGCCAAACTGCGTGTTTGGTTTCTCTAAAAACTCGACTAATTAAAGGTGCTGTCTCTTGTACCACCGCTAAACGACAAAATTAGAAATTACTTTACTCTTAGGAAATAAAATATTTTGTCGCCTCTTCTCGTATGTAATTTTTTTTATACCTGCATTTAAAAAAAGTGCAAAATTTGCCTCCCCTTTTTGCCGCCATGGGCCGCGACCCATGTGGCCACCCCCTAAATCTGGCCCTGGTTATGCCATTTAAAACTATGGAAAAGGATTGATAATCAGGGTGTTCGCAGCGAACATCTTAATAATCGATTCTTTACCATAGGTTTAAATGGCAGAGCAATCGATTTATCGTAAAGCACGCCATGCCACTGGAGATAGAGTTACGTTCCATCGTCTCGGAGACGACGGACTCGGAGTAATATTACGGAAATTTACGGATCCAAGTCACCTTAGGCATGGAAACGTTGGACTCTTTCAATATTGACTCAATACTGAGTTAATATAGAGTCTCTCAATATATAGTGCTGTTGAGGGTCAGGTTACCCTTATCTTGCATCATTAACAGTCGTATCGATGCGCCACTTAGAAAGCTTTACTTCGATCGTGTGATACAGATTCATGCTTGTGCGTGTTGTGCACTGAGAAAAAACTATGGCTTATAAACCTATTAGAGGTAAATATGGAACACCACTAATAGTAGTACCTCTACATATAATAATAGCACATATACCTTAGTTATGGTCTCTGTACCTTAATTAGGTACAGAGACCTTAGTATGGTTCACAGACCGAGAATCAGTAGTTTATTTACGACTATTATAGGTGTTCCATATTTACCACTAATAGGTTTATAAACCATAGCTTTTTCTCAGTGTGTAGCATGAAAACGCGATGATCATTTTAAGGAGATGAAATTTTGATTGTAACACGATTGAAAATGAAGGAATACTCCCGAGTGAAAGAAGGTTGAATTTTAAAGTTTAATCCTCCCCTGCCTCCATTTCCTTGGAACACTGATTTCGTCCCAGCCCAAATTGAATTTGATGTATCTTCACGCTAACAGGTCAAATAGAGTCAAAAGTAAGAACCAAGATGAAGAGAGATGACCGTGAGGCAAAATTTGGAACAATATGCGATCTCTCTTTCCTTATTCATTTATGATCTGAATCTGGCTGCACTCTTTCTAGGTTGATACCATTATTTGACGTACCTAAGCTAGAATATCAACTTACACGAGGAAAACATTTCTTCTGAATGACGTTTCATTGAAAGTGAAGGCGTCGACTTGGCTTTGAGAGATCTTGTAACCTGTTTCACACATTTCCAAAGCCGGAGCAAACAATTCGGCCCATTTCAGTTTCCCGAAACTACTCCATGCTTCCCAATAGCCGGCCATCTCTCCGGGAACTCCACTCGCAAGAGCGCCTAAAGATGCAACAGAGAGTTGTTATCACCGGAGCAATGGTTCACTAAACCTTGCTTATTTTATTGAATATTCTCAAAGTACAATAAGAGTAGATTTTTACAAGTATATTGACAATTATTCAATAGGCATCTAGTGAAATTTAAGGAAAAACCGTACTTGAGCAGAATTTTTTACATTCACCATCATTCTATTTGTAAATTTTCTCATGCCTTTATTTTTCCTTGTGATCACAAAAATGGCTTGCCCCGTTCGCGAAGTCAGAACCTTTTTCGTTATGCCCATTTCACGGGATGGCCACATTTTTGGCCCAGCTCATGAGGGTGCGGCGGGGTTTCGACTGGAGATGAAACCACGTTTGGTTCCGAAATGATCATCATCAAAACAATCCAAAATATCACGACTGAAGACTAAAATGTAAGTTTATACCTAAAATTGTGATGATGTTTAGCATTAGAGTGTAAAAATGTAGATATGTATGACATAATAATACATCATGTACACGCTAATACATTGTTTTAAATACTATTGAATTCAAATCATTATTATTTATCCTTGTGTCTATGCTGAGGTGCAAGAATTTGAAAAACTCCTCTGATTCCTAAACTATAAGTGTCGTTTAAAAATATTGACAAGACCTATCAAAAGAATGTGGTCGATGAATGCTACAATTTGTTAGAGAAAACTTGTTTACATACCACTTCTAGACTTCCCGGTTTGATTTTCAAACATAGTTTTATTAGAGAGAAGAGGAGCAACCTCTCTTGCGTCGAGAATAGAGATATTTCGTGTTTCTCTGCTGTAAATGAGCATTTGGAAACCCCCTCCGATTCCAGTGCTATGCGCGTTGTAGATCCCGTTGCATAACATTGACGCAATCGCAGCATCTACAGCAGACCCGTTCTTCTCCAGGATATCCCTGAAAAAAATTGAAAACAAAATAAACAAATTAATTAGTTAATTAATAATGAATCAATATCAATGCAGAGATGAATATATTTGGGACTTTCGAAGAAGAAAAAAAGACAAGCGGGAAAGTTCTAATACTGTCGTATTAGAAAAATGCTCATGTGTTAGTCAATGTATTTAATGAAGAAAGGACGTATAAACTCCGTCGACTTGGCTGGGAAATGGAAATAAAACATCAGCTGATAGCAAACAAAGGTTACCAAGGAGACCGTTAGCGCGTATTTTTGTTTCCCGAAAATGAGCTCACCGTTGAGCTCATCAGGTGCGTTTTTTTTAGGCTTCATTTGAGTTCAACGATCAATTTCGATAAGAATTACTCTACCGCTAAGAAATTTTCTTATAGACAAACGATCGAAACTACCTGCGCATTACGTTAAAAGCATAAAATACAGTTTTCACAGCTTTATTTATTTTAAAAATGGACCCCCTCCCCCAAAAGCCTACACATCGATGAGCTGGTGTGCCATTTAAACGCATTAACATTAGTATACTAGTATACTCAGAGGCAAGTCGAAATCAAAAAGCGCTGCCTATCGGCTGAGCGCTTAAATGAAAGACAAAAAAATCCATCTCATTCGTGGCAGACAACAACAATTTGGCAACACCGGATTTTCTCCATTTAATCCTATGTTGTATAATCGATTCTTGTCGGAGCACCTGGTCCCTCCAAGAATCGATATATTTCCATAGGTTTAAATGGAGAATAACAATGTTGCCAATTTTCTGGATTCGCGAATGCCTTGAGCACAGAGATACCACATCTACAGATGAGCTGAAACCTCCCCGGGGCTACCAGTAAGAAAATGAGTCAGTCCAGTCAGTCTCTTGTCGCGTGATAGCGGGGAAAATGTTATCACGGTTCGAAAACTTTTGTTGTCACGACGAACTGATGACACTCGAAATAATCGATCGCTAGCCTCACGCAACGAATATTTTTTTGATTGCAACCTGAAACCGTCAAGAAATACCTGTTTTCTTGCGATAATGAACAATAAAAGTTTTCTCTGTACTCTTCACAAATTGAAACCATCTGGGAATCGAGAAAAGTCTCTAAAACGGTTGATTTTCCATGCATTCGTCCACCGATTTTCGTCACAGAAAAACGTAGAGCATATAGAGTCGTAATGGGAGAGCCCATTTATGCACGCGATTTTTGTCGCCTTGTCGCCGGCTACAACGGATCGCGCGATTTCAAACTACACGGGAGGCTATGGAGCCGTTTATGCGCGCGACAGCAAATCGCGGCGGCAAAACTGCCGCGGCGATTTCTAGATCATGTCGCTTGTAGTTAGAAACCGCCCGGCGATTTCCTGCCGCCCGCGGTTTGTAACTACACGGAGTCATATGGGCGCATTTATGCGCGCGACAAATTTCGGCGACCGCCGCTTGGAATTGAACTTCTTGAGCACGTGTTTTGGACCTTTTGCGCTCCAGAAAAACGGTGTCGCGGCGGCAGAAAAAAGGTGCCGCGGCGACGAAAATATGGATCGCGCGATTCCAAAAAATGTCGCGGCGACAACTGCCGCCGGCGACACGGCGACACAAATCGCGTGCATAAATGGGCTCTAAGTGGGAGAGCCGGCGCCACCTTTAAGCGTTTTCCAGGTCCCGAATTCCGAGACTCCTAAGCCACGTCGGGGTCACTTTTTCGATTCATAATCGATTGTTTTCGATACACGGAGACCCAGCCATCCGATGTAAATAAAGGAGATAGGAATTACTATGTATTCCACACCGCCATTTTGGGTCAAACATGTATTGAAGAAGTGACCAAACCTCGACGCACACCGGGCTCGAAACTCGTTGACCGGAACATGGGGCCAGCTCTCCCATTTACATAACGACTCTATGTACTCTATGTTGAGAAATGACAGATGTTCTGACGTTCCAAGGAAAAATGCCGTATAAATATAGACATGTTGCCAAATTTCTCCTTATGAAAATGGTATTTTTGAAGAAAATTATGCGTATTTTTCGTTGAAAATTTCAGAAATTTTAGATTACATTACGAACAAAATTTCTGAGAAATTGAAAGAAAACATATTCGCAACTTTCCCGATCAATTCGTATTTTGTAAAAGTAAATTTGGCCAATTTCTGAAGGTTCATACGGCGTTTTTCCCTTGCGCGGCAGCTTGAGAGAGTAATGAACTAACGCTCTCCTACCATTCTCACGATCTTCCATTCTTCCCCGCGCGCGCTGCAGACTGCAGTGCAACACAAGCGTCCGATGTGTCACGACACTGTGCTGCTGTGCTGCAGAAAAACGCCTTACGAACATACGAATGTTGCCAACTTTTCCTTCATAAAACATTCATTTTTGAGGAAATATATAAATATTCCTTCCTGTAATTTTTAGATACTGCGTAGATTGAATTGCGAACTAAATTATCTGAAAAATTTTGAGAAAATGATCCACAAGTGTGTTTGAAAACCTCGTATTTTCTCAGGAGGAATTTGGCAACGACAAATGGCTCATACAAAGTTTTTACTTGGCCACGGCGAAGTAGGAATCGACTCGTCGCACAGTGGAACGAAGCAACGGGAGAAGTCTGGCAAAAGTTGGAAACTCTGTAAGCTCATATCTTCGTAAATATGAATCGCAGAGGTTTAAATGTGGCTCCATTGGTATTCTCGCAAATTCTCCTCTCAGAAACACCCATTAGAATTGGAATCGTGACGAGATGAACAGCAAAATTTGCAATTTTAGTAAAAAATTTCACGTTTGACCTGCTCCTAATAGCGCGTTCCTTTGTGCGCCGACTCCTCCTTGACTTTCGGTGATGCAACACTTGTAAAATGCTCGCTGGAACGGACCAACCCGTAAGTGGCATCACGTTTAGCCGCCGCACGGGTGATTAAGTCAATGGGAGAGGTCGGACAAAATTTCGAAACTTTCATCCCTTATAATTCCGTTTATTCAAAACTTCGAGATTTTAAAAGTGGTTCCGTTGGTTCGCTCGTGAAATTTTCTGCCAGGCGCACCCCTTAAAACTTAAAATATGACGAAATAAACATCAAAATTTGCAATTTTAGCCAAAAATTTTATGTCCGACCTCTCCGATTGACTCGATCCACTGTGCGCCGGCCGATATTAGTCTGATCGTCTGACAGAAGTTTATTTTATAGTTACTTGGGAAGAAATTATCGATTCTTCTATTTGCAGGTGCATATATTATATTTGTAGCGGTCCGTTATATCTGTACGTTACAGTAGCTTTTAGACCCTCTTTTGTTCGAATAATTTTCGACCGTAGCATTGGGAAATCATGGATGCTAATCAGACAATCGTTACACATGTGACGAAACAACTGATATGGTAAATCATGTTCAAGGAATGGCAGGAGACACGTTTGCTGGTGCAGGTCCTGGATTTGATTTCTCCTGGGAGCAGGCGTAGAGGGTGCCCAGTGAGGAGGTGGGGGGGGGTGGAATCGAAGCAGAAATGGACTACATTTGGCAATTAGGAACTACAATTTCTGTTCTATCCGTAAGAACACTCATGTCTAAAGGAAAACCAATAAGTTGTTTCTAAACTTTGTAACCATATTTTTTAACCCGTGAATTGTAGTCCTTGATTGCAAAATGAAGTCCAAATGTTAAGGTGCTCGAAGCCCGAGGCGAGGGGTTGTGGTTCCGGCGGTTAGGAGTCGTAGCGCACCAGGTAGTACTATAAAGTCACATTCTATGTGAGGGCAACTCCCAATGTAAAATAAGCTACGACACGTGCTTGTGTGCGAACGCAGGGCTTGCTGTGGCTGTGGGATAACAGACCATAAGATTTTCAGCACCGAGACAATAGAGTGCCATAAGAACATTAGGCGAATTTTCGCCAGTGCGTTTGGTCGACTTTATCAATGGATCGACAGGGTAGTAAAACCAAAGAAGAAAAACGCTTAACTGAACGCTTTTCTTCGTGGCCATCGTGTGTGTGTGGATTCAGAGTGGGATTTAAGCGCAAAATATACAGACAGTCTGGCATCTACACACCTCCATAACACCCTTGGCTCAAAGAGCTATTTTGGGCTTCAGAATATTGAACTTTCAGACGAGACCAATGGCACCATATTGTTACTCATAAATTACATTAGATTAGATTGAGGAAGTGAAACTTCTCAGCTTTTGAGAGCTAACTCTCTCTTCTCGTGCTTTAGGTTCATGACTATATGATTGAATCGAATTTTTTGCATAGAGGTACATTTTGTTTTTGATAGGATGGATTAACGAGCAAATATCCTTGCGGAAAAGTGGAGAATTTTCTTTTTGAGATCAACAAAATTCAGTAAAGTTTCTAAGACAAATTTCCGAGTGTTATGTTCTTCTTAATATTTTTAGGAGTGAACTGTACAAGACCATTTTGAAACGCTATAAATGGACTTATACCCCTATGAGAAAAATCGATTTGATCACCATGCGAATTTCTTATAAGCGTGCTTTCCGCGTCAAAAATGAGAGCCGAAAGTGAGGTTACGTGGTCGTTGCTCAACAGTAGTTCTTTCAAGTAAATTTCAACATTTTTTATCCGAATTCGCACTCAAATTATTGGAACAGTTTATATGTATAAACTGACGGCTATTGAGCCTCAACTCATCGTCGGTTGCTGAAAATTGCACGGAACGCGCAAATTTCGCGGATGGAGTCTCGTGACAACATCCATCGATGCGTTGATGACCTTCATTTGGACCGCGTTAAACAGAAAGGAACCAAGCCACATCAGCTATTGCCAAATTTAACAGGGGAATTTGATTTTGTACAAGAGAACGTTTGTGCGGATTCCTTTGAAAATGTTAAGGAATTTGCTTTGTATTATGGAGAAAATTCATAGAAATTTGCACAAAAATCCGCACAACCGTTTTCATGTAAAAAAATAAATTGCCCGATTAAATTTGGCAATAGCTGATGTGGCATGGTTCCTTTCTGTTTAACGCGGTCCATTTTCAGTTCCTATTTTCGGCGTATGAGGTGCGCTTAACTCTGCCTCTTTGAAGTTCCGGGTGGATTTTACCATGACACGATGTCAGTCAAACGTGAGAAACGTAATTTACTCCCAACTTACTTGCCAACTGTCGAACAGGGCGGCGCGTCCGTGCAGACGGAGAATTTTTTGAAGTTTTGCTCTAGCGATGCCGAGGGGGCGATGATCTCCTCCGAACTTCCATCTGACGATTTTATCCACGCTGAGATAGCATCGAAGTAGGCAACCCCGAGATAAACGAAGAGCAAAATTAGTATGACAAATATGACAACTGCTGTTTTGATTCTAAAAAATTGTTCGTAAATAAACAAAAATAAAAGCACTATGACAAAACCATGAATTATGTAAAATGAGATAGAATAAGCAAATTTTCATTAAAAGTCAAAATTTTAATCTTCCACCATATGCCTCCACCACTCCTTACCGTAGTATGCACTTGACGTGCCAATGTTCTCATGATGGTTGTAGAGAACTCAAACAGCGAAAAATTGTATTAGACCCCCCTTCCCTTATCCTTTTTTTTCGCTATATACCTTCAGAACTTTGAGAAAATATTCCCTCCAATCATTGAAGCGGATTCAACATGGTTCGATGGTTTGTCAGTGCGAGTTAAATCCAGCTGTTGTCTGAAGGAGAGCATAGGTTGATTGATAGACGGCTGAAAAAGTTCAATCTCATGTTCATAGAGAGGTATATCAGCTGACGGGGAATTGTATCTCTAGTTCTGCTTGTAACAAAATTTTCGTTCAAGGAAAAATGAATAATAAAATAAACTTTTTAAACGCTAATTGAATTTTTAACTGTAATCTCAAGATATTCGGGGCGTAGAAGTGTCTTAATAATCAATGGTCCTTTGATGGAAACATGACAGAACTCTCGATTTCAAGCAACTTCTTAGACTTAGGTGCTCTCCACATGAGCGAGTCTAACTCGATTGCGAGCAGTAGTATATTTTTGAACTGATACTGCTGCCTTGATTTCAAAATGTATCCTACTGTTAAACATAAACAGTTTATGTATAATTTAAGTTCATAAAAAGGTTCAATTTCGCTAGATTTTTCTGGGAGCTATCTATTTAGCATCAAAATTCAAAAGTGTTCAACTCGCGCCATGTCTATAATGAATACGAAATTCATACGCGCATGCATACAAACATTGTAATCTGCAGTATGATATTCTGATAACTGTCATCCATACTGCCACCAAAATGCAAGTTGAAAAAACTCAATACGTGACGTTAAAGATTGATGAAACTAAGGATTCGAGCAATAACTCGATTTTAATTTTTTTATTTGTTACGATACCTGTTCCTTTAGGACTGGTCCTATTGGAGCACGGGTTTAGATTGAGAGGAATGTCATCCACATCCTATAGATAAAAATAAACCATACAATGTAACCCCATTGCAGCATACGAGGGTCATCCAAAAAGTAAGTTTCCCTCCCTTGTATCTTCCGAACGAAAAGAGATAAATAAAATCGGTAAAAAGACACATATTAAACATACTCTAAGCTTTAAAACAAATCCAAGTTTTTGAAAATCGGTTGAGGGGTTCGCGAGGAAAGATAATTTTACTGAGACAACCTCCTGTCGCCGCGTGCCCACCTCCCGGGTCAGGATGCGCGGAGAGTCGATTACTTCAGACTCGGGTATTCGCCTCTAAACATCACATCAAAAAGGAATTTAGAAGTTTTCGTTGAGTAGGTCTTACCTTTCTTTTTGACGTAGGCCTCACATCTTTTTTGACATTTTTTGTTTCATTACAGCAGCTTTTTGATGCCTTCCGCGTAGAAGCTCTCGCCTTGGCTCCGAAACCATGTCATTGACAGCGATCTGCACTTCCAAATCAGTTGCTTTGCGTCGGGAAATTTTCCCCCGATCCTCCATACTCTCTTAATTTAGCCATATGTGACTTTCATCTGTTCCCGAGCGGAGAAACTTCAACGATGAAAAGCGATTGCCAACCGATTCAAAGGTACAGATCACTGTCAATGACTGGTTTTGGAGCCAAGGCGAGAGCTTCTACGCGGAAGGCATCAAAAAGCTGATGTAATGAAACAAAATATGTCAAAAAAGATGTGGGGCCTACGTCAAAAAGAAAGGTAAGACCCACTCAACGAAAACTTCTAAATTCCTTTTTGATGTGATGTTTAGAGGCGAATACCCGAGTCTGAATGTAATCGACTCTCCGCGCATCCTGACCCGGGAGGTGGGCACGCGCGACAGGAGGTTGTCTCACAATCAGTAAAATTAACTTTTCTCGCGAACCTCTCAACCGATTTTCAAAAACTTGGATTAATTTTAAAGCTTAGAGTATGTATATGTGTCTTTTTACCGATTTAATTTATCTCTTTTCGTTCGGAAGATACAAGGTAGGGAAACTTACTTTTTGGATGACCCTCGTAGATTTATTCAAAATTTCTTTTCCCATTCAGAGGAATGTTTCACGGTTTTTGGTGGGAATTTCACTGAATTTAAATGACAATACTTTGACAAGTCTATGGGAATGGCACTACGTATTATTGAAGCTAAGTGCCGCTTTTTCTCACATCAGTTCAAAAAATTTGCTAATTGCAGCAAAAGTTGCTAATATTTTACAGCATTTCATATTTGGGCCATATTATATCACTGAACTTACCGACACATCCTTTTAGCCCTCCGCTCTGCTCGCCCCGGATCCTCTATTTCCAATCTAGAGTCAACAAAAATTAGAAAGGATAAGAAACTAAAAATTGACTTGTCGTTTTTACAGAGTCAGGAATAAAAAATTGTATTATTCAGTGAGAGTATTTCGTGTAATCATTGATTTGCGCCTTTTAGTCTTATGGTGTTGACATGAGTTGTAATCTTGCGCCTTGAACTTACTAAAATTAAGCTGGAGAGTTATTTTTGGGGTTTAAATTTAGGAGGGTATCTGCCTCTCTTTCTTTTCCATTTTTTCTTATTTTACGTATGGAATATGGACTTGCGTTTAACAGCTTTGTTTGGTAAGCAAGGGTCTGCTGTAAAAAATTAGTAAATCGAAAATCAATGCATCAATTATAATTGATAATGGAAATTCGTGTATTAGACTTATAAAATAAGTAGAGACTTGTGCTTCGGGTGTGAGAATGCTTTAAAATATGAAGAAACATTTATCTGAAACCTTTGATGACCTCGGCTGACCTCACAAGCCTTGCTCTCAAACAGTTGTAGATTTGAAACTGAGCAGTTGAGTCTTATCTGTGTTATTTACTTTTTGAGAGCTTATTTAAAACTCGCACCCCGTTTCAATCAAGAGTAGCAGCTTTTTCCCTACTAAAATAATGATACTTCTAATAACAGCTAATGCGTGACTATGATTGCATGTAACTGCCGATTAATTTTCTGGCTACATCTCAAATTATTATTATTTAAATAGAGTGGTACTTATGGGATGCATGCAGATTCTGCGAGATATTACCATGCCAGACGACCAGTGGCGTGGCGTGCTTCGCGATACATCGATTTACCTGCCATTTAAATCGATTCTCTACTACAGCTTCAAATGGAGAAATATCGATAATCGATCATTCATGCCACGCCACTGCAGACGACCCCGAAAAACGATCCGGGACTACATTTAACGACCGCCCCCCCCCCCCCCCCCCGCAAACAGGAGGGCACGAGGGTTACTTCCTCAACCGGAACAGATTCGGATGGCCCTCTCCCTAAATTTTGAGTAAAATTGACCATATTACACGATTCACAAAAATTGCTCCTAATTTGCGTCCATAGTAATCAGTGCTAAAATAGCTGTAATATTTGCATTTCTGTCTTGTTCAGAAAAGAATTTAAAACACAAACGATATAAGAATGATGAAACTTTGAAATGCCGACGCATGCGTCCAATCTTCAGCAATTAGTCTTGGAAGATAAAGCGCTGTACAGGACTTTTAAAGTAAAGAGACGTGAGTGTGAAGAATGGGCGTCTTCTAACGACGAATTGAAGAAAAAAGTGAAAGCGCTTGGAGTAAGACATCTGAGCGGCGGCGTGAACAATGAAGCACCTGACTGGAATCCAATTGCATAAGGCGCGCAGGGCATGGGATTAACCTATTTATGGGATGGTATGCTCCCCCTGTACTTTCATGACACAAGTACTTAGGCAGTATAATGTAGCAAACTATGTTTTTCAATTCCACCGCACCTATTGCAAAAATATAATGTTTTGTATTTTAGATTATTAATGATGAGCGAGAAAAGATAACACTCTACTGTAGTCCGTTTATTGAAAAAAGGAGAGTAAATGTTATAATCTTGAGACAGCAATCCAAACATCTTAAGTTTCCTTTGAGCGATTCTCTGTGGATATGAAATAATAAAAATAACATCAATTGGTAAGAGGGTTCGCCGCCAACTTTTTCGAAAAAGGCGTATCGATCCAGTTACGGTTGATGTTACGTTTGCAAACACACGGGGCAAAGAGAGTTCGCCTTCATCCTGGCGGTTATGCAAGATACACTACCTCGAAGTCGGAATAATTGTATCATAAAGATGTTTCATCTTCCATCAGAAGAAAAACGAGCATAGTGCAGAAGGAACGAGGCACGAGTAAAATATCAATTGCAACATTTTCGGAGAGATGAGAATCCACGGAAGTTTTTTCAGCATTATACTTATTTCTTTGTGAGAAAATGCAGGAAACATGCAGAATATTTTAGCCGCATTTCTTGGCAAACATTTCTCAGATGATTTGGAAGGGAAATTTTCTTATTTTAAATGCACTCACCCTTTACAATTATTCAGTATTATTTCGACAATACCTTTTTAATTATTTTAACACAATATGTAAGTAACTATGATAATTTTAATTTAGCCTCCGATAACACAATTTTTGTAGAAGGAACTGATAAGTATTTTTTGCATGCAGTTCGTATTCACTATAATGGGAGCAATTGTTACTTTCTTATGAAGAGAGCCCCCGTTTTTCCTGATTTGAAATAGCGATATTGTGCAGTTGTATTAAACACTAGTTAAATGAAGGTATAACTGAATTTAACACTAAACTGCCTCCTCGAATATGGTTACGTCCCAAAGTATGTACAAGGAATTATGCATTGCGGATTACATTTTGCAATAAAGAACCACTATCTCTGGCTCTCCCATGAAAGCACGGATCTGCAAAGAAAAATCAATAGCATGTATGTTCCTTCTAAAAAGGGCCAGGAATAGTGGTTCCTTATTACAAAATTTAATCCTTGTGTCACTTACCATTAGTACTCTAGTGGTCCATCTTGCATGCTGTCCATCATTCGACCAACAATTATTGCAATTTTTGTCCTCATTCCCTATCGTCTAATTTTATAATGGGGGTGATAAGCAACAAAGACCCAGAAATACTGAGGAATGAAGCTTGAAAGTTCGAAACTCACCTTCGTCTGACCATTTTTCACTATACAGTAGTATTTCTCGAGAGCGGTATACTGAAAAGAACCGGCAAGTTGAGCAGAAAGTTGGAGAAGAATTCAAAATATCCAGAACACTTCACTCCTGTCGGTAAAACGGGGATTGAAAGAAACAGTTTTTTTCTTCTTTTTTTCACCTGCAGGATCGGGCACCTTCTTGTTTACACTCTGAGCACACGGGGACTAGCACATGGCACGGTGCGCGGGCTGATTGCTGATCGCCGCCGCACTGATCGACGATTGGGGCACGGCTGGCGGCAGTGTTGTAAAGTCACCGGCGCGGTGTGTGGATCTGGTAAAGTTTCGCGGTGTCCGTCTCCGGTTCTTGCTACGTCTTCGCACATGCGCATTTGGTCGAAGCTTCGTCAATTCTATGCCAAGGTCGGCAGGCCGCCAGATTGGTGCCAAATCAGACCGTGAAAAATCCCGCGCAATATTACGATGGTGCCCTACCACTGCCATCCTGTGAAAAAGCACCGCATGAAAATGCTGATGCTGTCTCATATTCCACGGGTCAATATTTATTTTTCATGGACTTTATAAATATTTCTCTTCGAAATTTTCTGACACCCACTTTGAACAAGATGCTCTGAAAAATTGGGGGAAAAACTGATCTATAACTTTCCCTGGAGATTCGCTTTTTATAAGAGAGAATTTGGCGTCGGAAAGCTCTTACGGCGTTTCCACTTGGTGCAGTAAAATGTCACACCTAAAAACAAGTTTTTTTTTTTAATATTTAAGAGAACGTATTAAGGACATAATAATAGGCTGTTTACAAGTAATTTTAGATAGCAATTGGGATATTTTTACAATTAGTTTTGGTGAATTTTCCATAAATGTTAAAGTATTTTCCTTTAAAACTAGGAAAAAAATAGCTTAAATAAGTTTGAGACCTCCATTTTTTAAAAGGTTACAAAAATGTCCTACAATTTATTCTTTTCAGAGAAGTATATCTCTTTCTCTTTTGAAGCTTTTTTTAAAAATTATTTGAGTTTTTCCTCTAAAAAAAAAACATCTGAAAAAAATCTGAAAGAAACATCTCTGAAACATTTTACTGTTTTCAGAGATATTTTTAAAACGTAGTTCTGAGCGTTATGATGTCATTAGGAATGGCAAATAAAGTAGAATCTCAATAATGCACCGCTTAAAAAAGAACCGTATTTTAGAATTGGGTCCTTCTTTCTTCTGACTCTCCTTCCTGTAGTAAAAGATAATCTATAAAAATCTCAGGCAGAAGTAATGTAGATTTGTATTTCTTATCAAAAATAAACTTGAAGCGCGCGCACTTTTAAAAATTAAAAGTAAGCTATACGTTTTTTCATTTTTCATCAGCGATGAGTTTAATCGTATTTATGCATGTTCATACACACTCATTCAAGGGCAAAATACTTTATCTTTAAAGAGAGGAGAAGATAACTATATTGAAAACTGTCAAAATAAACCAAAAACTAATTAAGTCCTCAACTTGTGGTGGTCAAGGGCGGGCAAACGACACGGGCATGCTATCTTTTCTTCATTTCTTGAAAGAAGATAAAGGCGATAGGCCTTGAGCACATTTTAATCATAAACGAAGCTAAAGAAAAAAGGAGTGTTACAATTTTTAGAAAAACTTTATTGATAAAAAAACTCGAAAAAAGGAAAAAAAATGAACGGATAATCATATATTTCAATGTTAAACCTTGCTACAGTGTCGTCGCGGTTACATTGCATCATCGAACTTTGAACATTTGAACTGTATAAACTTTATTCGACAGTTCACTGATTTAAAATTAAATGATGATAATAATTGTGTTGCCATTCTTTCACGAAAAAAGGTGACGTAAAACGTAACGTAAGGAAACGTACCAACACGTAGTTTTGCTAATTTTGCTTCATGTAGGACAAAAGACGAATAAATTTGATTGTATCTCTAATTTATCGTTTTCATCTTTTCGTTTTACTTACTGGATGACATGAGGTTCAGCATACTAAGTACACTAAACGTTTCTGATCCGAGTCTAAATGCGCTCAACCACTCACGCTCAGCTTCACTTTCCAATTTTACTTCCGCACTCGGCAAGTGCATGTGCCCCCTTCCTTTGCGCCACGCGTCTCGGCAAGACCTCTCGCGAATGGCCATTGCACCGTTGCCACATTTGTTCTATTATTCCCCTTAACCTAGGGCAAATGCGTTGGAAACGTTTGCGCCGAACACCTAGTATCGAGTAGAGTCCCTCTATACCCAGAGTTAAGACAACTCACTTTTGGTTGGGCTGAAAGTAGCCTAAAAAAAATCCAATTCTGATTGGTTCTCGCTCATGGAGGCCGAAACGAGTGCACCAAGATGGTGGTACCTCGAATGTGAACAAGAATAATGAAAATATTACCTAATTGTGGTTTATCAAGAGTAAATTGTTATTTCCATTGGTCTAAAATGAAAATAGATTAAGAAATTATCCACAAACCAATCCCATTTTCTTTTTAATTGATCAATTTGTTGATGTTGTTGTTTTTGTGTGACAGACATCGCAGGATTCCTGATCCTTATCCCTCAATATCGTTCGTTTGGGTGCACTCGTTTCGGCCTCCATGGCCAGCCAAGGCCGGCTGCCAGTCAGCTGATAATCGAGTTGTCTTAACTCTGGGTATAAAGGGACTCTAGTATCGAGGCAAGGGCGGGGCTGAGGTGAGGGGAGGGTAGGGGGAGGAGGGGAGGCATGTGCGGCGAATTTCTTTACGAGTTTTTCATTTTCTTCTTAATGGGATTTTGGAAAATCGACACTTAATAATATAGGAACTAAGTTGCTTATTCGATCTGATATTCTTAGGTTAATGTCTTGAGTGCTGTAACTTTATCTCCCATCAAAGTTGCTCATAGATTACTTTTTTAGAGTTTACGCCAAATAAATGTATGCACTTTCAGAATGCGACATAAGATCCGCCATCTTGCTTCTTGCATTTACTTAACGTGTGAAAGTGACGTCAGACGATCTTCCGTCGCAGTTCTAGAGGACGCAGACTTATTTGGCGTGGACTCTACTAAAAAGTGACCGAAAAGTCACCTTTCCCTGACGAACAGTCAAATATAGTTCCAAGACGTAGCACGCAAATTTCTTTTAGCACCTAATAGATACCACCATCGTCAATAATTGTTCGAGAAAAAATGTTTTAAAAAAAAGAACAACAGAGCAAAAAAGTTAGAGGATTTACTTGGGAAACTATGAGGAAGGGCCCGTTTTTCTATTTACACAAGCATCCATTCTTAAAAGGTTAGTTTTGAGAGTCTTTAGGTGCCTAGAACCTAGCGTATACCGCTGAATTTTTTTCATTTTGAGACTGCAGGGCTCCTTTCTCCCTCTTTTGAGGCCTTGGGAGTGCTTTGATAAATTTGATTATTACAGCATGAACTCTCAGGGCCCCCCCACTCTTTCCCATGACCCATTTAAATCTTTGATTACTATAATATTGAGGTGTCGGAGCATCTATGTTGCTATTAATGCCTTTAGGACCCGCTAATACCACTGAATGATTTAATTGTGAGCCCTCAAAGATCCAATTTCAAATTAGCGAGCCCTGCTTTAGGTACTAGCGGCAAAGTGGGTTAATACTCCACTGGCATTGTTTCTATCTCTAATCGTTCCTTCAGTATCTCTATAGGCAATGTAAGCGGCTAGGGAACAGTGATAGTTGCTCGCCACATTTCGACCACGCTCACTCGGTTTGATCAAAGTTCTATCGACTTAAAACTCCACCTTTATTGTCTCTAACTTGGCCCCACCAATTCGCCTTCAATATCTCGTTAGGCAATGTGAACGGTAAATGTTGCTTGCAGCAGTTTCCTTTAGCGTCAGCGGACTAGTGCCACCTCCTGCTTTCAATTTTCAACACTCATTCAACACTCATACCCAATGAAGTTTCCTTTGATCTGGATAATATAAAAGGCAGAGTTGCTTGAAACATGTTAGCCGAGTTTATACCTGCTTTTAATGTTACTTTTCATCATTACCTAATCGCTTACTTGTTATACTAAAATTTTCCTATTTTACCTACTACCCAAGCACCTCAGACTGCACATTTGAAACCAGGGGATCCCGTTTAATGTCTCGGAGGCCCAATGAATACCTACGAACATAGTAGTAATGGTGGTATGGTAGAATACGATTCCTACGGGCCCCTGGGCCCCTCCTTCACTTTTGAAGTTCTAGGAGCCCCGCTGAATATTATAAATTTGAATATTCTTCCATCGATATATGTTACTTGGACGTATTTATGCGAAAAGGAGATATGTGGAAGTGGAAAGATGGGGTGTGCTCGTTAGTGGTCGGGCCATAAGAATGAATGGGGAATATAAAGCGCCAGTGACGTCAGCGGTGAGTGCGGTGACGGTTTCGGGATCGGGATCGCCGTCCGGCGTCTTTAACTCATGAGCCCTGTCCACAACGCTCTCTTGCCATGCCCGCGGCTCATGAGCTAGCATATTTTGGCGCTTAGCTCCTTTTGATTTATTGTCAAATCCCGCTTTTCAATTTTCTCAAAAAGAGCTATATCCACTTTTACATTGTTTCTTATGACCCAACTAACGAGCAGACCCCATCTTTCCACTTGCACATATCTCCTTTTAGCATAAATACGTCCACTTAAGGTAAGTGCTGATCGTATGGAAATAAAAGGAAGGGTCCTTAGCTCTCGGATGATTAGTTGGACACTTGAAGGGATTGTGAGTCGCTGTTCAGTAACCGTGGGAGGATCGTGAACGAGCTTTCAAAGTGTCGGCTCATTCATCCTGAATGTAAATTAAAGCATAAGCATTTCCACCTACCAGAGACAAGCGTATAGCTGTGCGGCTGCCGTACGTCACATTCTCAATCGACGTTGTCAAGAATACACCTCTACTAATTGTAAATGGAGGGGTATCGATAAAGGCGGAAGGACCGTTTCTGGACTCACCCTGTATTTCCTCAACTCTACGATTTTATGTTCATTGGTCTAGATTTCATGGAATGAGCAATAATTGTGTCATTTTTGGGTCTAAAAGTGGCCTAAGCATGTGTCTGAACGCCGATTCAGCCAAAAATCGTAGGTTTTCCGGGTTTGCGGTCGAATGCCGAAAAATCCGCGTTTTTCTCCAAAATCGGCCTTAAGACCCATGTTAATGACACTCTTGAATCAGAAAAGAGGATTGGATCGTAAACAATTGAGAAAATTCGGCCAGGCTTAGCCCAAAAATGGCCCTTATCGCTACCCCTCCTTTGCTAAGAGGGTAAAGTTGATTATGAATTTTTAGAGTTTAGATCTAACCGTCTGAATAGTTTAAAAGTATTACACTCGTATCAAATTGTACAAGTGTTGGTTGAGAATCCAAAGTGTCCTAGATTGTGAGGATAAGTGTACGTAACCTTTTCATTGGCTTATATGCACTCTGCAAGGAGACTTTCTCAGACCTTTCTCCATCAAATTAAAATTAAATCTGGTTACATATCTTTACTGCAAAAGAGACTCATTTGATAAATTTAAATAATGTATTGCCCTTATGCTTGTGATATGCACGCAGCTTGTGTTTTGAGAATACTGTTGCAAAATAAAATAAAAAAAATAAAAGTTTTTTTGAAAATGCAAAACACCAGAGAATGTAACTTAACTTTTGAATCGATGTACTTTTTTATATCAGCCTCGCAACAGAAGAGACATCATCTATTGCAAAGGAATCACAAGGTCTATGAGTATCTTCTTTTGTCACACCTCGTTCCGTCACGGGTCAAAAGGTGGCGCACTGGCGCACACGACCAACACAATGCAAGGCGACTGCACTGCTGTAATGACAGGTTTTAGATCTTAAATGCCTGAAACACCTTCCGATAATGATGAATGATGATTGCGACATTAATACTAAGCGGAGTCTGTTGCTTCTATTCGGAAACATAGGATGCGTCACATTAGGATCATTATAAAGATGAGATTCTTTGGCGGCCACGTAAAACGATTGATAAGATTTATGAACAACATCGCTCTCGCTGTGAAAGGTACAGCCAAGTACTACGTTCTTAGATTTTCACAATTTTTTTTACCGTTTTATCCAACTGAGGAAGGCGGAGTTTTCAGCCAAAACGTTTCGGTTATATTCGTGAAAATTAGCCTTGTCACCCGCTAAGAAAACTGTTTTATTATTGTAAAACCATTTCGTGGCTGAACAATTTAAAAATTTGACCCCCTCCTAATCAACGTTTTCTCCGTTATTTTTTGTCGGAATCTTATGTTCCTGTGTTCCTTATGTTCCTCACTGAGAAAAAACTATGGCTTATAAACCTATTAGAGGTAAATATGGAACACCACTAATAGTAGTACCTCTACATATAATAATAGCACATATACCTTAGTTATGGTCTCTGTACCTTAATTAGGTACAGAGACCTTAGTATGGTTCACAGACCGAGAATCATTAGTTTATTTACGACTATTATAGGTGTTCCATATTTACCTCTAATAGGTTTATAAACCATAGTTTTTTCTCAGTGATGTTCTATTGCCCCTGCGTGAAAGGGGCCGTCCATTTACTAAATGACGCTTCGGAGGGCGGGTGGGTCTGCATGATTTTTTGACCGAACGTGACAAGGGGAGGAGGGATGTCGAGCTTAGCGTTAGGTAACGACATGTATAGTGGATTTTTTTTTATCCTTTTTTTGACACTCGATTATACTCTTCATCTCTGTTTTCTTCATTCTTCGAGATGTATTACATTTTCATTACCGTTCATTGTCCTTAGCTTCCACTTGGGTAATTGTATTTTTCACAAAATGTCTCTAAATCGTGAAATTCACTTCTTCGCCCCAAGTAAGCGTGACATTTCACGATGATGCCACTATTCGACCATGTGAGACGTGTAGCCTACGTCGAAAATTGTAGGCAAACTGCCAGTGCGTTCATAGCTAGTGAGACATAATGAGACCATGTCTAAGTCCCTCACCCTTATTGCCTAGGATCAAAATTTGATGGCCAAGGAACAATACTTATCTTTAAACTAACGCTTTCATGGGACGGAGAAAAAACTTCGCCATTTTTGTAATTTTTATGGTAGATTTTCAATTTTTTTAATTATTACACACTGAGAAAAAGCTATGGTTTATAAACCTATTAGTGGTAAATATGGAACACCTATAATAGTCGTAAATAAACTAATGATTCTCGGTCTGTGAACCATACTAAGGTCTCTGTACCTAATTAAGGTACAGAGACCATAACTAAGGTATATGTGCTATTATTATATGTAGAGGTACTACTATTAGTGGTGTTCCATATTTACCTCTAATAGGTTTATAAGCCATAGTTTTTTCTCAGTGCAGAGCCATTACAGCACTTCCGAGCGAAATTGTAAAGGAACTGAAAACACCCGCTTGCGTAATTTTTAAGTATGCAACAAAGCCTCAGATTTGTTTTTACAAAAAGTGCCAGCTAGGCGTTGCTGTTCCTTAGCTCTCGAAATGCTGATAAAATACGTTCCGTCATTAAAACCACGGTGCGATTTTCTATGAAGGTATGTTGTGCTATTTGGTTCATGCAGCCGTACTCTTTTTTCAACTCAGTTTAAAAGTTAGAGGTATAAAAGTTCGGTTGCATGCCATGCACCAAAAGTTCAGCTCTTCGAACCAAACAGTACATCCGACATAACGATAGCTGAAGTGTTAAACCATGTATCTACGTTTGCGAGGTTACAGACTTCTTGCCATAGTGTATTTTTTTACGGCCAACGTAATTTCTTTAAAAAAAAATGCTTCTCTGTCGGGAGAATATTCCGTATAAATTTAAAGGTATACTTTCGGCTCGTTCTCTTCGAAAAATTAAAATAGGAGCGGAAATTTTAAAACGCCCCAATGAAGATACACGATTTCACACTTTAGCCATCGATAAATACACGATATCGAAGTCATATGACCGAACTTGTTTTCTCGGTTTTCAAAACCTTTGTAACGGCTGTATCAATTGTTGAACAATGAAATACTTCGGACATTTAGGTAACTTTAATTTTCAGTGTACAAGTAACAGTAAATAGAGATCATAATGACAAAAAGAAAAAAAAAGGTACAAACTAAGCATAATATTGAATGAAATTAAAGAGCTTCATTTGCATTTAAAGTCGCCTCTGAGCTTAAGTCTGTATCCCCATCAACAGAAATAAAAGTAAACACATTAATCGGTTTAATTATCAATATCAGGAAGGAAACGGCCTCCATTTCAATGATAAGATCGATGACCCGTGTAACCTTCAAAAATTAGAATGGGTGGATCCGAGACCGATCTGTACTACCTGAAAAGTACCGTGCCCAAATTGAAAGAGAAGACGCCGTGGAAGTACACAACTAGTGATGTGCTTTAAAACCCACCTTTAAGCCCGAGTTTTTCCGTGCCTGTTGGTCGTTTCTGTTTCTTAAAAATCTGGGTACCTTCCCTCTGTGTAATAAAGTGAGAGAACGTGTGAGATTAAGAATTAAATCAGTTTTCATTCAAATTTTCATTTTATCATTTACCCAACAGAAAAATTTGATTCTCAATTTGCGTAAGGTTTGCTAACATCTTGAAATTCAAAAATACCGCGAATGGGCTTGATTGCTCAAGAAGTTTTGGTTCTCACCATACAAAAAGAAAAGTCCCCGGTCAGATGACTCTATAGAGAAAAAACTGAACCGAAATGGATTAGAAATAGCTCTTACTCTTCCTGTTGACGTATTTTCTATGATCCGCATGTTAAATGTAGGAAAATTTATGTTCCGAGTCGGTCAAAGAGGTGTCATGCCCATCCACTTTTTCATAGGATAAAACTGATTGAATATTTTAGACTTGAAAATTTTTAACTCTTTTACCAATGCAGCCTGGACATATTGTGGGACTTGTAAGTGAAATTCATACAGAAATGAGCACGGCACGGTGGACACGGAAATTTGATCATCAATTTAACGACACAATTAACACACTCATCATTGTATTCAGACAAAATCCAGAGGCTCCTACTTGCAAAAATAAAAATAAGCATTAATAATTAAGAATGACCCTGTGTTCAGATTTACCTAACGGTCTGCCTAGGAAACAGGTTATAGGAGGCTCAAAAAAATATTTATGTACAGGAACAGCTCTTGTGAATATACCTACACGAATCAGACTATTTACATGATTTGATGGCTGTCAACAAATTTGGAACTAATACAAAAAGAAAAGCTACTTTTAACAGCAATAGTCATTGTTCAGTTTTGTACAGGAAAATATAATCTATTTAAATTTGATGTAACAATTCGTAAATATCTATTTGTCCTTATGGCGGAAATCTTCCTTCAACAAATAAAAAGGGGTCGATTGTAATTCAAAGAATCCTCGAGAAGATACTATTTAATTCTATAGGGTATGTGCCTAAAGTTATAGTAACCAAAAATAATTGTTTGAACACTGTGAGATCCCTGATGAAAATGACCAGTTAGGCATGGCAGAAATGCCAACTAAGCAATTATACTATTTACTGCTATCAATTGATGTCAGTAAAAGAGTTCACTGATATCAGTTAAGCTCAGTACCAAAAAAAATTACTGGTATTTCTACACTGTTCTAAGTACAGGTCATTTTTATCACGGGAACTTGTGGGAATTCTTGGAATCTCTTGATTTGTTTTAAAGTTACTCTGAGAAAATACGCTTATAAAATGTAAGGAGACAAGTGCCGAAAATAGATTTTTGGCAACAAAAATAAAGAGCGCAATAATTAATGTTCTTTTTTTCAGATGTGTACAATCATTAAAAATAAAATAACCATGGATTTAACGAATATTTTCTGTGGGATTCTTTCATAAAACGAAAGAAACTTAAAACTAGAAATCGAGATCAAATTCTTACCTAAAACATTCAGTTACCTTCGATTTGAACGAAGAGGGCAGGAAAAGACAACACAGCAAAATGTTGCAGAAATTATGTCTAATCTAGTAAGTAGGATGGAAAGTATTCGATTTGATGTGGGGTTTATTGGGTACCTGTAGAACGAAAGTCCAAGTTCGGATGATAGAGATGAGTTACCAAGGTCTGTTTTCACAACTGCTTGTATCTCAGTTACATTTTCCCATCTGAAGCTAGGTATTTTACAGAATCGATAGTTAAGATGTTCGTTGCGATCATCATGTTTATCAATCCTTTTCCATAGGTTTAAATGGCAGATCTATCGACACATCGCAGAGAACGGCACGCCATTGGTATGGCATTCCTGGTTGGAGACGTCCCCGTCCAGCGTCCAGGTTTTTGCTCAATGGACCAGAATACAAGGTGCGAATTCCAGCATTCTAACACATGTTTTCGTATTGAAATACGCATAACGCAATTCAGGCAACAAAAATTACTGATTTTAATTTTTCACAAAGATTGTGGACGTTTCTTGATACATAAAATCAAACCTCCCTCTCACGAAAAAAAAACAGAGTTATACGTGAGTCAAATTGCGCATTAAATGTAACCCTAACTATCTCTGCGGTATTAAAATATGGCAACCTTCATCTCGATGCCTCGGCTCAGATTTTGCACGCGTTAACGCTGGTGAAGTGGGACAGTCAAAATTATTGTAACCAATGTAAAATAAAGACGTTGGTATCTGTCATGGAGCTAATGTCAGTAATTTTCGTTGCGAAAATCGTGCTTTACGCGCCGTTTTGGTAAGGAGACGTGTTTAAATGTGCTTAAATTCGCATCTTGTGCAGTTAGGGTTGCTATTGAATTTATAAGATGAAATACCCTGAAATTTTTCCAATTTCTCTGACACATTCTGGTAAAATTCCCTGACAACTGAAAATTAGCCAGATGGTTAAAAGGACATAATTTGAAATAGTTTTCAGGCAAAAATGTTTACTCAAAACGTCGAAACCCATTCTAAGGAGCAAATGAAGGTGACTGGACAACTTTTTCTTGGTGCTTCCATCATTCTTCCTTGAAATTTCCAGGTTTTCCCTGGCTTTTTCAAATTCCCTAAATTCCCCGAGATCCATTCGAACTGGGGCGTGAAGTTGTGGTGATCTGCCGTGCCAAGGAAGAACGCCATATGAACATTCGAGAGTTGCCAAATTTCCCTCGATAAAATGTTTATTTTTGAAAAAGCCATGAATACTTTAACTAAATACTACTCGAAATTTTCAGGAAATGTAGGTGAAACTGGTAACAAAATCATCTGAAAAATCGAAAGGCGGATATTCGCAAGTTTACGAGAAACTGTGCGTTTTATTGAAGGAAATTTGGCAATGCCTGAAGGTTTATGCGGTGTTTTTCCTCAGCATGGCGGTGATGTTCTTCGACGAAAGTTTACTTGGAAAATTCCATGAAACTGCAGGAGTTTCTGAGAACCTTGGTTTTGAATTCGGGGTTCTTGGACTCATTCTCGCTGCTTTCGTCGCTCTCGTCGAAGATAACCGAGTCGTCGATGTGGTGGTACTGCCGCTTGGTGCACGGCCACGACTGGAGCACCAGCTTGGAGTCGGGGCTCGCGTAGCGTTTCGGGGGCCCGGCCCCGTCCTGCGATGCCGACCGGAAGCCGAGACTCAGACACGGCGGAATCGCCTTCCTGTCTTCACTCGGCGGAATCGCCCTCCTGTCTTCGTGGCCCTTGTCCGGCTCGGTCATGGACAGCGACTCGTAGTCCGGCGAGGACCCCGACAGCTCCACCCGCCGCGTTTGGTCCGACTCGCAGTCGTCGTCGTCGAAATCCTCGTGGATCCGCAGGTGATCCATCTCGTCCTCCTCGCTCGAGCCGGGTACCGCCTTCTGCGCCTCCCGCCGGGACTTGTCCTCCAGGAACGAGGTCGATAGCGAGTACTTGCGGTTCGTGAAGTTGTTCTCGTTGCTCCCGAAGCCGTGCATCTCCGGCTTGTCGCTCTCCTCCGAGAGGGTCCGCGTTATCAGGATCCGCGGGGAGTTGCGCTTGAGCTCCGCTTTGGACCCGAGGTCGTTGCCCAGATGGAACTTGACGCCGATTATCCTCTGGATGAGCAAGCTGCTCCCGTTGCCGTGTTTCCGGGTCTCCGGGGGCGCCACGCCCGGGCTCGTCGAGTTCTCCGGGAATGTGTTGAGCGGGATTTGGAGGTTGTTGCAGCTGTGCGTTCGCAGCTTCTTCAGCTTCCCGCCGGAGGGATCCGTTCTTTCGTCGGTGACGGAAGTCGTGTCGGACACGGCCACCGGGGACCACGTCGCTTCCGTCGACGAGATCCGTGGGATCTTGGACTTCCTCGAGAGGTTCTTCTGCGAGTAGGCTAGTTGGTTGTTGTGTATCGTCACGGCCTTGCTGTTGTTGTTGTTGGCCGAGTTCAAGCATATTTCTGAGAGTCTTCGTTGTAGGAATGAGCTGTTGTTGGCGACCAGTTGACTGGCCACGCTCGTGAAGGAGCTTTGGTTCGGCGGCCGACTCAGGACCCCGAGAGGGGTGAGGCTGGGTCTTCGCGAGCCGCACGCCGACGGTGTCCGGGCCTGGATCTCCTGATTCAGCTCGCACTTGGTCATTTTCTTCCTGATGTAGTTCTGGAAGGATTTCCGAAGTATTTTGTTCTTGATCCCGTACAGTAGGCCATTCACCGTGGGTGAGCAGGTGAGTAGAGTCGATGCTATTGTCACTAACGTTGGGTATACTTCCATCTCTCTTTTTTGACTAGAATTTTTGGCCAGATAAAGGTTATTGACAGTGTTGGTGGTTGACTCCCATATGACGATACCGTAGAATGGGTAGTAGAGGAGCATGAAAGAGCCTATGAGTTGGAGAACAGTCGAGACGGCACTCTTTCCTTTGAATTTTCCGCCTGCTCCGATTTGAGGCGGGAAGAACGGATTTCTCTGATGGGTGATGGTCACCTGCGCTGAGATGGCCACCTCGAATATTGCCGACGCGATGCGATGTCGGTGGTTCCTTGCTATCATCAGGACCTGCATCAAAGAAAAAAGTATCGTTAAGTTTCGGATTTGGACTGAAGCTTTCTGAATGGGCGTGTTAAGTGTTGCGCCGCGCCGGGCAGCACAACTCCAAGAGGGAAATCATCCTCTATTTGAGATCTTTTTCCCTCTGTGGTGAAAACACTCTTCCTAGTGAAAAGTCATGGCGTCACTTTCGCTCTCATCCTATGATTATCAGCTTATACATATTGATCGGTGCGTTTCTTTTCTTCTTAAAATCTTCTCTCTTAGGTTTGCCTTCAGCAAAATATGTTAAGAAAACTAGTGGAATTGGCAATATATTTATACTTGAACATCCTTATGCACCGATAGTTACTTATACTTATCTTACATTATTACGTACAATTGGACTGCATTTTGCAATTTGGAACCATAAATTCTGGCTCTTCTGGGAAAACACTTATGTGCATAGGGAAACTAATGGCACATACGTTGTTTTTTTAAAGCGGGCTAGAATTTATAGTTCCTAATTGGAAAATTTAGTCCAATTGTAAGAGTAACGGGTAACGTATAACGCCTGAGCTGCAAAGCGACTCATAGGGTTGGGCCGAGAAGCGGTCAGGGGCGTTACCCCTTGAATCATTACACTCTACAATACTTGACTCCAACCAATACTAATTAAAAACTTATTCATTGAACTTAGTAAATCAATTCATATGCAAGAAACGGGAACGTCACTCGATAAAAGCTCAATTTTTCTGCAATTGATTTCCATGAGATGAGAATTTAGTTCCGTAAGGGTCCAAGGAAAATAGATCACTTACTTTTAAATTACATCCTAAGATTAGAGCTGTTGGCAATATCAGAGTGAACGCAGTGTAAGCAGTCGAGTACCAGAAAGACAGCCCCTCCCCCAGGCTGAAATGAGGCATGCAAGCACCAAGCTCTGCCCTGAAGTAATATGGAGCGATACAAAAAAGGGGTGGAAGACAAAATGCAAGTGCCAAAACCCATGCGATGCCCAGTCCAACAGCCACCTGGAAAAAAACCATTCAAGCAGCACACATATAACTGTCGGTTATCAATATACAGAATATTTTAAGAGTTTAATATACATTTATTATTTTTTTCTAACTCCCTTGTATGCTTGAAATAATAGATAACATTAGCGCAAATCAGCTTTTAGAGATTTTTCTTGTACACAATTAGGACAAAATCAATAAGCAATCTTCACAAAAAAATTAACGATTTCCGAACCCGGATTCATACTTAGAGGCGGATCCAGCAATTTGGCAACACCGGATTTTCTGCATTTAAACCTATGCTAAATAATCGATCCTTTACGGGGCACCGGGCCCCTCCAAGAATTGATACATTTCCATAGTTTTAAATGGAGGAAAGACAATGTTGCCAACTTGCTGGATCCCCCAATGGAATTATTAAATGGGCTCATACCAGGGACCCAGTATCCCACCCTTGTGGCGGGCCTGCTAAAACGATTATTCCAATAACGGAACTTGGCTGTTTTCGAAACGCCTTCAAAGCGGCGTGATACCTCACGCATTCCGGAGAGTTCAAATAGTTGTATCATTGCGCCGTAAGAATGTGACGGAAGATTTAAATGGAAATAGCCTCCATGCACGCTGGGCTTGTCAACTTCTTCTGAAATTTTTGCAGTGGTGAATGCATAGCTGAAGTGCGCTTCTACAAGAATTGTATTTACGAATCGGTGGTTTTTCTACGAGGATTAAATATAAACAAGTGGCACGGAATATAACAAAAGAATATGAACTATGCAAAACGATAATCCGGGTATTGGAACTTTACTGTTTTGAAAACGCCCTCAAATGCGGCGTGATACCTCACGCATTCCGGAGAGTTCAAATAGTTGTATCATTGCGCCTTAGAAATGCGACGGAAGATTTAAATGGAAATAGCCTCCATGCACGCTGGGCGTGTCGATTTCCTTTGACATTTTTGCAGTGGTGAATGCATAGCTGAAGTGCGCTTCTGCAAGAATTGTATTTACAAATCGGTGGTTTTTCTACGAGGATTAAACATAAACAAGTGGTACGTAATATAACAAAAGAATATGAACTATGCAAAACGATAATCCGGGTATTGGAACTTTACTGTTTTGAAAACGCCCTCAAATGCGGCGTGATACCTCACGCATTCCGGAGAGTTCAAATAGTTGTATCATTGCGCCTTAGAAATGCGACGGAAGATTTAAATGGAAATAGCCTTCATGACTATTTACTCCAGTCATTAAAAAAAAAAAAAAAAAAAAAAAAAAAAAAAAAAAAAAAAAAAAAATCAGAAAAATGATGAATTAAATTCGAGGGCAGATCCCTTTGGGTTGGCGGCATCATTTGAGGATGATTGGCGACTCACCTTCCGCGGATTGACGAGGGCGGCATAGTGAAGAGGGGATGAGATGGCATAGTAGCGATCACAGTTGAGGCCGCAGACGGTCCACAGGGCAATAGGGTGGAGGAGGGTAAAGAGAAATCCGTGGATGTTGCACGGCATCCAGTTCGAGTCCCGCCATAGAGTCGGCGCAGAAAATATCAGGAACATCGCGCACAAAAGCACATCTACGATTCCTAGGTGGAGGAGCAAAATGTGGTTGGCTGTCTGAGTCTGTAACAGAACACGCAGTCTCTTTAAAAAATTACTATTATGATGATGCAATGATATATTCATGTTCGAAATAGTTGGCCAAAGTGAGAAACCGCGTGTCTCTGTTTGCGACGTTGCAAACTACCTGTCATACTTTATCTCCTCTCTGAGAAACTAGTACCGTATTCTCCGTGATCTTTCCGCTCTGTTAGTAGAATATTCTGTGTTAACTTAAAGCTACCGGGTTGGCTACTTATTTTACAAAAAAATAAAATAGAGACGGAAATGTTGAAACATCGCAATTGAGATTCGTGGTTTTACACTTTGACCATCGAAACGTTTCTTTGGTTAAATTTTAATCGGATAAAAAATAAGGTAAGAGGGAATGCTTGTAGCGTATCTCTTGCTCTTCCTTCAAAATGCGCGTGGAACCGCATTTCACGTTGTGAATTTGATAGAGGAAGCAAGAGACAAAGAGAACCCACGAAAATTGAACGACTCTACTGCCGTGCAACGCAAAACCGCAGTAAACGCCATTTTAATTTTTTTTTGGAAATAATGTATCATAGCAGAAAAAATTGTGTACCTTGGGAAGATGTTTTTACTGAAGTCTTTCGTAAATACTATCAAGAATTTAACCTGAAAATTTGAGGTGCATGGATAAAGCAATTTTTATTTTATAAAGTGTTAAGTTCCAAAAAACGCGGGAAAATCTTGATGAATTTCCGGCGTTCTTGCTTAGCATGACAGTCTATTGGTTGAAACGGATAGGTGTTACAGACCAAGGGGGAAAATGATGGACAAACTATAGGGTCCCTTATGAGTTGCCTGCAGTTAGTCTATTACTTACTACCTTTGTCCATTGGAACCACCCGCTTCCACCGACAGGATTACTAAATTTTCTCTATGTTTTCTTGACTAATACGTATACAGCTTTGAATATCAAATTCAATAATCAGACCCCCTATCCTCCTTAGGAGCTGCATAAAGTAGCAATCCTAACACAGTTAGAGTGCTCAATGTCCATCCAAAAAAAAAAAAAAAAAAAA